ATGCTTATTGTTGTCATAAAATATGCCTTATTATATTGCTAAGATATATTAAAAAATAATAATGATTCGCCAATAAAACATAAATGTTATAATATTGTTATATATTGTTTTTAATTAAAATTACTGTGATTTTAAATCGAGACATTCCTTAGTTGGTATATTATTGTAAATAGATAAATATATTTTACTAATTTTTTTTTAAATAACCTTTTAGATGTGTAGCTCATGTAATTTTTTAATTACAATTTGTTTAATTAGCAATCTGCTGTTAATATCATTTTTTTGTATTATTCTAATGTTATTGTTAGTTGTTCTTTTTTTTTTATACAATGTAGATGTATTGGTTAAATTTTTCTTTTAAAAATCTATAAGATTTAAATACCTTTTCTTTGTGTTTTAAGCAATATATGAATGCAATAAAAAAAAGTAAAAATTCTCCAGTTTATGTAGATTTTTTTTATTGTTTTAAATATATATATATATATACAGTTTACAATGCATATATATAATATTCTAACACTGCTTTTTTGCTAAAAATTTTGAACTTATGTTAACGTTTAAATCCAATTTTCTCTTGTCAGTGGGTAAAAAACTATGTACGTGCCTATATACTATATTATTTTTTATTTATTGTAACCTGATTAGTTAAAATAGTCCAGTTTTTTGCCAAAATTTTGTGGTTCATCCATTGTTTCTTTCATTCTTTCAGCCATTCTCCAGGGGGGGGGGGGGAGTACTTAAATTCTAGGGTGGGGTGGACATTGGTTAAAGTATATATTTTGTAGAACAATTCTATTTTATTGGAGGGGGGGGGGGGGAGAGAAGTGCTTTCTGGAAGAAAGTCTAGATTAATCTGTTTGGGATGTATCTGAACACAGTTGGGTAGAATGAGGTTTGAGAGGGGATTGACATGAGATTTTATAAATCTGTGTTAACTCCTCTAAAACTTACGCTGTATTCCTGAATTCTGTCCTGGCAACTCACCTTGAAATCTGCCAATCATAACTTGTAATAAAGAAATGTAATGCACTGTCATGTAATAGCCATAAAACAGGGAGGTAACTTTTCAAGGTTGGGTATGATGGAGGGAAGTAAAAACTTGTACTATTCAGACCTTTCTCTTTGCAGTTTTTGTGTAAATCACAGCCAGCATTTAACTGAGTCAACCAATTCCATACTGTTTGTATATGATTCATGCTTTACTTTTAGTAAAAGATCACTCTGTATAATCTGGTTAATATTTTAGTTCATTGTGCATACATTATTTATGAAATCAAAAGTAACCAATGCAAGATAACTCTATGTTTTAAAATACTTTTTATTAAAGCTTGATATTTTTACTAGGAGATGATTGTACTTGTGAAATTTTTTTAAAATTCTCTACAATTATGTTTATTGGCTTTTAATTAAAACAATTTTCAAAAATCTATTGTGAACATTCACCAAATATATATATTTTTAAACTAACTTTAATAATGTTTTTAAATTTAATTTTAGACAATTTTTATGATTGAGTTTTCCAGGATAAATTTGTTTAAATTGTCTAAACTAATTTTTTTTTTGGTTAATTTTTACAAGATAAATTTGTTTAAACTAAATTAAATGTCTAAAATTGCTTTTGTTGTTTTTGAAGTAACACTTTTCACATGTTTATTGTTACATATTCTACAAAAGGGTAATAAATATAGCAAGGTGAAAAACTTTAAATATTCGAGCTGATTCTATGTCAGTGTAGCCTTCCAATGCCACTTGTTCCGATTTCACATACTATTCCATCCTCATGGCTATTCATGATCTCGATGTTGTTTTATAAAGAATGTTTTTTTATATTCTTTATTAACATCCTATAACTTGTGAATAGTCAGTACTTTCTCCAACAAACCTAACAACAGAAAAAAATAAAAATTTTAAATGTAGTTATTTATTTTTTAACCTGGTGGTTCATAAGTCAGATGAAGTAAGGTTCTCCTTATTCTGTGACAATGGCATATGAAGTAATAGTTAGCACTAGCTCCAGCCACATTTACCGTCCCGAATTAAAGCAGGTACACATTAGAGCTGGGTGGACTCAGAAGTCCAACTGACTCAAGATTTTCACATTAGCAGATCCTCTACCATCCAGCAGTCTCGCATTCTTTTCTTTACTCTTCATCTGCATTTCTTTCAGACTTTTTTCTCCGGGGAGAAGAAACTTCATTCTTCTCTTTACTTTAGTAGTAGATGAGTTAGGTTTAGGATTGTCAAATAAAGCTTTATGCCAATTCAAAATATCAAATTGCAAGTGTTTTTTTTTTCTGTTTTTAGGTTAAACATAGTACTGACAGGCATAATTGAAGCAATAAAGTTTATGGGTGCTAAATTTGTTACTTTATACCTGTTTTTTATACCATACGTTCCAGTATGTACTTTTTTCTTTGTCACAATTTTATTTTACTGTTTAAATATGTTGTTCTAATATAAAAAAAATAATTGCATTTTTAAAATAACATAAATGCATTTTTTTTAAATATTGACATACCCATTTTATTAATAAAAAAAATTTTTCAAGTTTGTTTTATAATTATATACACTGTTTCTTCTTCTTCTTCTTCGTTCTTAATTTTAGTGATTGAAGGGATCCCCCTCCAGCACAATTAAGTACATTGTTTCAAAGATTCTAATTTGTATTTATTTAGAAAATAAAATATGTATGTTAAAACTAGCAAACAGATATAAAACCTGCTTACAAGTACTGCAACTGAAAGTACTTTTTAATTTATACCTGTCTCCCAATATTATTATATGTATAAATGTATTAAACTGAATACTACAATTTTTCTTGACTGAATTTAGAATGAAACTGACAGAAGATCCCAAAGAATAATATTTATTATAATATGTATAACTATATGATATCCTTAATACTTTTTCACTTCCATATATAAATACTGAAAAAAGAAACCATTTTCTTATAACTGACTGCAGTCAACATTCCTTATTTTAATTTATAGTAAAAAATGATGTAAATTATTTCATAAATAAATCAAAAATTTGATTCTAGTTTTGTCTGGTATTCTTTTGTCACAAGAGTCAATTAACTTCAATTAACACTGTTGCATGGTTGCAAACAGTGATTGTGGCTATGTATGCTTTTGTGATTGAATTATAAAACTTAAAATCACAATCATGGTTAGTACACCTTCACTGATGAATGTATGGTGAAAGAGAGAATATATTTTCTATATAGTATTATTAAATGTTAACAAGTTGCCAGTGAATTGATAAATTAACATTATTTTGTATAAACCATCTACAAAAAGCTAATTGTTACTCAAAAACTAATAATATAGAGCTTACACATTCAATTTCATTCAAATAATTGATATAACTATTAGCTTCAAGATAATGAATGTCTGTAGGGTTATTATATTATGCACAGAATCAAAGTTTATATTATAAATGTATTTGTATTTGTGTTGTTGTTTTTTTATGGCTCAACAGAAATATTGTTTTCCCAAAAGTAGAAACAAAATATTTTAACAAACAACCTTTGGACCAAATTATCTAAAAGGTATCAAAAAACTAAAAATAAAATTACCAGTAATGAAAACTTAAGAAAACAGAAGTTTTTACAACATTTATTATATTTTTTTAAAAATGAAAAGAATTTATTTACATACTATACAAAATGTTTACAGAAATAAAATAAAACACCAACTAAATGCAGAACTGAGAATAAATATCACAAGTTATATATGAATGTGATGAACATATTGCACATATTTTAGACCAGTAAAATGGATGTCACTTGTAAAATATAACTCAATAGGTATAATTATAAGTTACTTGAACAGCAGATGGTAAATTTAAAAAGTGTAGCAAACATTTATAACTTTCACATAACAGCAGGTGGTAAATTAAAAAGTGTAGCATACATGTGTAACTCACATAAACCAGGTAATAACAGATGGATAATGTAGTTTGATTTAAACAAACAAGTTTAAGTAAGTGTAGCTCATTTTTTAAAAGTAGTGAATTATGATATTGCAGCCCATTAAAATTAGAATAATACACCCTAATGTAAGTGAAGCTTTTATAACCTGCTGGTTTAATATAGTCCAGCCCTATTAAAAAATATTACTGGCAAAAAAATATTACTGGCTTAAGGTAGTGCAGACCTTTTAAAATATTACAGGCTTACGGTATGGGAATCCAAAAAAATACCAACTAAGCATGTTGAAACTTAACTCTTGTATAAAAGCAGATACACAGTCATTATTATAAAATTAATGTAACCAATGTCAACAAAACAAATATAAACAATGCCAACAAAATCAATATAAACAATGTCAACTAAACCAGTATAAGTAAGTATCAACAAAAGCAATAAAACAAATATAAATTGTCTAACATCAGTCTTTGACCAGGATTCCACACTAATTTATCGTAGAGCTTACAAAAAAAATGAATTATTATAAACTGATTATTAATAATCTATTAAAAAAATCCAAAACTAAAATAGCCATGTAAAGTTCCAAAAACGGTAAAAACATATTCATTTATATTTACTGCACACTGTCAGTGTAATTAATTAAATGAATTAATGGTTAATGAATTACACTAATTTTTAAAAATGAAATTATGAATTATAGAGTTGAAGGGTATTAGGTGTACCTTTTTTGTTTTATTTATCACCAGCAAAACACAACCAACAGCAATTAACAGTTTTGTTAATCATGAGAAATCTCTTCGTTCTTATGTAAAAGCAGATATTGGGTCCAACCACCTTGAAAATGCAAGAACTGGGAGGATCATCAATAAACAAACCAACATTTGATGAATGGAATAATTAGTTATAGAATCACTGACTGAACAATAACACAACAATTAATTTATTTAAAAACAGTACAACAATATTTCAGTTGAATATAAATCCTATTGAATTAATAATATATAGTTACGAGCCGACCCGCAGCGTATCATACGCCGCTATTTAGTTGTTTTATTTTCTACTTTTCAGTTATTTTATAATTTGTGAATTCGACAGTACCACTGCTGTCACTGAAAATATTTGCTTTAAAACACTATCAGTAGCTCATTAAGGACGATAACCCCTACCACACCCCCCTGTGAAAGCAGCCTCCTCTTAGTTACCTCCCCTAACTTTAAAATAGTTTCAAACTAAATTATCTGCCCCTAATAGCTGTCACTAAACCTGGCTCTATGATTGTAAACATTTAGTGTGAACCACAGCTCACCAGACCATGTGGGGGTGCCTAGAGAGGAAGAGAGGGGACTGCAAGGCGGGCTTACAGCTTGGTGTTTTCTAGGGTATCCAAGAAGAGAATTATATATATATAGATACTGAGGATTTATATCAACTTGTCTGTAACCTTTTAATTCATAATAATACTTTTGGTTATTTCATATTTGTAAATTACAACCTACATGTTTCAGTATGACTAGCACATCATCACTTAACTTTGCTCCGTTTTATCCAGATTAACTCTATGATTGCTGGCCTTACTGACAAACTTAGAAAGCTTGTTGGAATCACAACTTAAATCTTCAGAATTCTGACACAGCTGATGGGCTAAACAAGCTTCTGGTTCATTTAATTGTTGTTTCACTTTCAAAACATGATCCTGCATGTTATTTTCATTAAATGGCTTAGGCAGCACTTTACTCCTGATATCAAAATGTTGGACTGTGTGATCATTTTCTAACAAAGTTTCCGAACTTGAATGACCCTTTTCTGGTGCTTGTAAAGCTACTTGTTGGCGCAGAAGCTGAAGCTCATATTCTAATTTAGCCTCCAGGAGCTTCAGACACTTTGTTCTTTGGGAAACCATCTGGATTTTCTCAATGAAGTACATTTTTTTCAGTTCTTTTAATGAACATGTTTGCTGCAAAGTTTCATCCTGAGACAGTTTCTGTTTTTTAGACGAAGAATTATAGTCTGCTTTTTTCAACACATGAGGGCTATTTATATCTGTAAAAACAACAAAATTTAGGGGTATTTTTTTTTAACAAGAATTTGAAACACAAGCAAAGGGAATTAAGTCTTGCATAACTATAGTTTTTAAATCCTCAAACTTGAGCTGGAAAGTGGTCACATGTTGAGATTAGTTTTTGTCTTAGGTTATATTGTTTGATGTCATTGCTCACAAACCTTATTGATTAACAACGTTAGTGGCTAGGCTTATTATTTAATTTACTGAAAAACATCTTTTGAGTATAAGCATGGCTGACAAAAATCAAAAATCCTTTCTTCATCCTCTAACATGAAAATGTGCATAGACCATTAACAATATTCTACAGTTGGTTAGGTAAAATATTTTACTTTCTATGCTTTGCTTTACCATATTTTAAGCCTTGCATTTTAATTAAAAAAAAAAAATAACCAAACTCCTAACCTTAACATTCTAACCATTTACAATCAATAGTGGCTTAGCTGTAGTTTAAATGTCAAATAAAAACAAAACTAAGAAAACTTACCCTCCCCTTCAGTAGGATAGTCAACCCCACCCTTGACATCAGAGATTGTAAGTTTACAACTCAAATTATCATCTTCCGAAGAATCAGAGTCTGGGTCCATATCCTCCACCTCCATCACCTCCTGGGTGTAAGGATTCAGCTGCATGAGGCGAGCTTTTGATACACACGACGTCGCATCAGCAATGTCGATTGGATTTCCATTCTTAAATCTCTTCTGTGACAGGTTCAAGACCAGGTTATCATCAGATAACTCGTAAGAACATTCGTCGTTAAGTGACTTGTCTAACGAGTTCTGATTGTAATTGTTGTTGGAGTATGGTAATTTAAGAATTGTCGTCTCTTCGTCATCCTGGTCTTTATCAGATTTCTGGCACAGATTTAAGGGCGACTGTTTACTCTCAGGCAGCATGTAAGACGAATAAAAATCCGGGTCTAAGTTTGATTTTTTTTCTAAACAATTGGCTGGTCTTTTCGACCCAGATTTCTTTTTTTTCTTAATAACTTTTTCAGATGGACGTCTCGGAAGGTCATTATTCTGCATCCCGTTTGCCCTTTTTGGTGTTGAAATTTTCAGAGATATTCCACCACTGTTTGAAACATTTTTGGTAATGCGCAGGTCAGAATCTGAGAGAGTTGGGGAACTAGGGCTGACTGGGGTCGCTGTATTGTTTAAATCAGGGACGTTTGTCAACATGGTGTTCAAAAAGTTTTTATCAGGCTTAACATCATTTTCCGCCACAACAGACCAACTGGTTTCCTCACACTGTCTCTGTACACAAAGTGGAGAGTTCAAACTGTCATTGGGTGATACGCTGTCGTTGTATTCTGTTTTTTCATCCAAGATCTTCATCACGAGATCATAATAAGGTGAAGGCCTTGCTAAACACTTTGAATTGTTGCCCTGAGCTTCTTTATATTTTTTCTCTAAAATCCGCATTCGATGCGATAAATCTTTCCATCTATGCTTTAATTCCTATAAAAGAAATTAAGATATATATAAAGTTGAAATAACTGTCATTTCAATTATTTAACTTAAATTATACAAACAGCAAAAATATATAAATGCTGATACAATTTTCAAAAAGGCATAACGGTCAATAAATATTTTATTCTACAATTAAAATACAACACTGTTTAGGAAAAAAAAAATAAAGATTGCATTTTTCTTCTTCTTTTAATATACTACCATAAAAATAGAGTGGTTAGTAATTTTAAAAATCTTAAAAATCTACGGCGTGGTCGAGTCGGTAAAGCTCATGGTTGCTAAACCGAAAAGTCTCGAGTTCGAACCCTCGGGCAGATGAGGCTCGTTAGCTGGGGACAGCCACTCTTCTAGGAGAGACAACTCCAAAATTAAACAACTGCTGCCTTGTAGTTTGTTCTTGGTTGGACAAAGGCTATGGAAGCAAATCCAAAAAGAAAAGCAGGCTGAAATCGGAGTCAATGGCCTCAATGGCGCATAACCAATTGACACGTAACGCTTAATTGTGTTGGAGGCGTGGTCGAGTCGGGCTCATGGTTGATAAATTCGAACAAAGTCTCGAGTTCAAACCCACTGGTCGATAAATCTCGATCACCTTCAACACTAATAATTAAGAACGAAGAAGAAGAAGACTAACTTTTCTTGTTCTTTCTGCACTATGGGGAACTGCATTGACTGCATCAGCAATAATAGTCCATACTTCTGCACGTTGGTGGTTACTTCCCCTACCAAATACAATGTGCTTGTACATATCCAACTGCTCTAAAAGAACCATGGTTTCTTCATGTGTGTAGTTTGGTTTTCGTATACGCCTGAACATGTCATACAGGAAAGAGAGGTTGTCTCCTTAACTTCAAACGTCTTAACAAATCTGAGGGGAGAAAAAATTAGTTACCATTTACATTTTAAGAGCAGAAAGAAATTATTCAAATGGTATTAAACAAGAAATTATTTTTACATCTAAATAATTCTATAATGATAAATAAATAGGGCAATTTTCAAATAGAATACCAAAATGAAATGAGGTGACTATCAAAGCATTTTTCCAACATTTCATATTCAACCAGAATTTTTAAGTGAGTTTAATAACCTATTATCTACTAATTATTTGAAATGCCATAATATAAAAACAGATGTTTAAATTATTACCATGAAATTAAATCCTTCATGCTCTTTGAGCCACGTAGAATAATACCATATTTGTAGCCTAATAACTTATGAGCTTTAATTTTCAGATTTGACATAGTAGTGTCCAAATATTAAGTATATTGTTCCATTTTTATTACAATTTACAAAAATGCTAAATAATGGCTAAAATTGAGTTTCTAACATGTATTAAAATGCAAAGGTGCGTGATATTACTTAAGTCTAGTCCCCCTTCCCCTTAGAAGTGTGATGTTGTTTGTCTTCCATAAAGACAAAGGCCCATATAAAAATTATTAAAATAAGTTTGTGTTAGTCACTAGTGTGTTGATCTCTAAAGGCTGGCTGGCCCTGAGTAGAGAAACACACTTGACTTAGGCCTACTAGCTAAACTAAATATTAAACACAATAGGCCTCAAGTATATTACTAGAAGGGACGGAGTGGTCTAGCGGTATAGAGAGCTGGATTGCTAGCCGTAAGTCTCGAGTTCAAATCCGGGTGCAAGTCAGTAGACCATACCTGAGTCCACCCGACTCTGATGGGTACCTAACTCACGTTAGGGAAAGTAAAGGCGGCTGAGCATAGTGCTGACCAAACTATCTCTTTAAATGCCGAGGTCACAGAAACAAGTGAACTCTACTTCACTTGCCCCATAGACCGTCAGGTTTGAAAGGGAAACTTACTTTTATATTACTAGAACTTCTAAATAAATAAATGGCTTCAAAGTGGGATTGACAAGCGGATCTTCTTTTTTATTCTAAATTGTAATGTTGGAAGAGATTTCCTCCAACACAATTAAGTATTAGGTGTCAACTTGTTATGCGCCATATAGAATAAGGCAGTTGACTCTGATTTTTGCCTGCTTCTCTTTCTGGATTTGCTTCCATAGCCTATGTCCAACCAAGTAACAGTTTTTTGATTTTGTAGTTTTCTCTCCGAGATGGGTTGTTGCCTCCAGCTATCGAGCCTCAGCTACTTGGGTGGACGGGCTTGAACTTGGGACTTTTCAGCTTAACGGCCATGAGCTTTATCGACCCAACCACGCCAACCCACTGGAGACAATTGGATGATTGCACCTTAAAGTTTAAAGCACCAAGTTGAGAAGAACCAGGTGTTTCTCATGTATCAGGCACCCTCTCTGTACAGAGATGATGAACCCAAGGAAGAGGCATCACCTATACAACTTGAGGCAGCGGCTAACTGCAGAAAGGAACCCAGAGTTTGTGATTCTATCACCCTAATGGGCTCCACTCTTGGTTGATTTTAAAGCTTTATCTTCAAGATGGGTTGCTGTCCCATCCCCAGCTAACAAGCCTCTTCTGCCTAGGGGTTCAAACTCAAGACCTTTTAATTAATAATTTAGCAACCAGTCAAACCATTCCAACCACTAAGTGTAGCTAATATTACTAATAATAAGTATAATAGTATGTAGACTTATGAGTTGACAGTCTTACTCTTGCATACTTACTTTCAATGCAGTTTCAGCAATTTACTATTAACTATAGGCCTACTTACTAATAGGCCTAACCCTAATCACCTAGTCTCTAATTTTGCTAGTAGGCTGCTAACTGACCAAAAGCCAAATCTACGACAAGCACAAATGCACACACTACAGTGACAATCACATGACATTTTATTTTAGATCTGGAGTAGTTCTATAATCTATATATATATAATTCTCTTCTTGGAGACGCTAGAAAACAAGCTGTAAGCGCGCTCCCTACCACCCCACCCCTACATGGTCTGGTGAGCTTTGGTTCACGCTAAATGTTTACAATCATAGAGCCCGGTTTAGTGACGGCTATTAGGGGCAGATAATTTAGTTTGAAGCGATTTTAAACTTAGGGAAGGTAACTAAGAGGAGGCTGCTTTCAAGGGGGGGGGGGGGGTAGGGTAGGGGTTGGGGGAAAGGAGGGGGGGGGGGGTAGTATCGTCCTTAACGACCAACTGATAGTGTTTTAAAACAAATATTTTCAGTGGCAGCATTGGTACTGTCGAATTCACAAATTATGAATTACTGAAAAGTAGAAAATAAAACAACTAAATAGCGGTGTATGATATGCCGCGGGTCGGCTCGTCTATAATAATATATATATATATATATATATATAATATCTAGATCTAGTAAAATCTAGATCTGGCTCGATTCTAGGGTACACTCATTCAGGCAACGAATATAAATTATAATAGACCCAGTGAATAGCCTCAGCTGTTCAAGATAATCTTTAATATTCTAGATCTAGAATCTAGTATTCTAGATCTAGATCTATCTAAATTATTCTAAATCTACAACTAAGTTCAACTATCTAACTAACCTAGATCTAAGTCTAAAGATTCTCTAGATCTAGTGTAGTGTGTACTTTATCACTGTGTGACTTATACTACTAACTAGACTCTAGATCTAGAATCTAGATCTAGACTAGATAGTAACACTAGTAACCAATGTTCCCTCTAAGGACCAAGAGTGTGTGTGCAAAAAATATGTTGTGTGAGCGGTGCTAAAAATGACTTGGGCAACTTTATATGTATGTTTAGGCTTGCAATTAAGCAGAGTAATGAAGGCATGCATTTTGGTAACTTAATAGTATAATGTGTAGGACTAGTGAAACGTATGCAATTAAAAGAAGATACGAATCCTATCAAAATAAAATAAAATACACAACAGAAACTTTCAGAGTTATACTTACACAACATGTTATGTGGTCGACTTACTATGTTAGTGTAATGCAATCATATGTTAATAATGTTAATACCATAACGGTAATACAAATACAACAGTTTAACATGTTAACCATTTTAAAAAGCTGACTTGAAAACAAAATTAGCTAACCTTTCAGGGGCATTTATTGCAATTTCTCGCGTCTAACCTTGCCTTGCTTCCACACCTTATATGCTTTGTTTAAATCCTCATCCTCTCCAGCATTTAGATATAATTTAATTCGCATTAGATTCTCCAAATGTGTGACTTCAAGTCTATTTCGTGCTTGCACTTTAATGCTGTTCATAAGACTAAAACCTCGCTCGCAATCAGAGCTGGATGCTTGAAAAGTACAGCATATGTCAATTAACTTTGCCAATGAGCTAAATTGTTCATCGTTTAAAGTAACTCCTGCGATTTCAGTTAGTGAATTTACTGAACCTGATTTGCGTTTTTCACTGATCTGAAATTTGAAGTCATTGTATTGCGTGATAAACGACTCTTCATTTGTTGTTTGTAACAAGTCTTTGCACTTAACGCACAGTTGTTTGATCTCTTTGACGCCAAATTCAAATGCACAATTTGTTAAACCAGTATGATCAAAAGCTGACCAAAACTGCAATTCATCTCATGGAAACCTTACATTTAAATGATCGCAGACCGATCGTATAAACTGTGTGATTTGTCTTGTGTCGATTCCTACGTTTTCATTCAAAATTTTCTTGGCATTATCATTCCAATATACATCTTCACTCAGGTATTGTGCTTCTAATTTGCGTATTTTAGAAATGCAAAATTGATGTGCTTCAATAGATGATAAATTACTTCGCTGCAACAACATTGATAAATTAGCTAATTCAGTTAATACATCATTAACGGTATACAGAGCAACTTGATACAGGGGATCTCTAAATGATCTCAAAACATAACAACAAACAGGATCATTGTAGTCTTGGACTTGTTCTTCACAGTAAGCAGCTAAAGCATCAAGATTTCTAACCAAAGAACTGACAGCAAAGTGACGTGACAACCAACGAACTTCATGAATTGGTCGAAAAGAAATTACATCCATATCATGCACCTTGGCCAATTCTTTAAGTGCGCCCTTTTTAACTGAAGATCGACTAAATAACGTGAAAACCGTGCGTAAGAGAACCTCAATATTTTTAAACAAATTAACATCTTTCCAAGCGTCAGAAAGTGTCAAGTCTTATCGATGAGCAACACAGTGCTGTTCAACAAGATGGGGGATCTTAGCCTTCAGTAAAGCAGCTAATCCCTTCCTACGGCCTAACATAACCGATGCCCCGTCTGATGTTATCATTACCATGCGGTTCATATCAAGTTGATGTTCAGTGTAGTACTGTGTTATGGCTGCCTCCAGAGCTGAGGCATCACATGCGGTAAGCTGAATTATCCCACCAAAAACGTTTTTGTAGAATAAAGAATTGACTGGACGAAATTTAAAATAAAGGATTAGCATTTTATGTACTGTTATGTCAGTACTTTTATCAACTATAAGCGTGTGGAACGATGCTACTCGAAGTTCTGCCAACTGTCTGGTATAGAAACATACTTCACCATGTGGTTATGAATCAGTTGTACCGACAGCATCGAGGCGTTCATCCTAATGGCGAGAAGAACATTATCCATTAGAATTCGAACTTGATCCTCGTTTGACCGCTGGCGCTCATTTTGTTCAATTCGTTCTTCTCGCTCAGTGTTAGTTTCAACCAGCAGATGTTTAAGACCAGTCCCATTTGAGCGGGTGTACAAAATCGCAACATTTTCTACGTGAACACGAGACAAATGACGTTTACAGTAGTCAAGCTTCCATGATTCCCAACGCTTTCCTGTGACCAATTCGTTGTCTTTGTTGGTTTTGTTACAAGTATTAGCAGCACAGAACTTACACTTCAGTCCAATCTCATCTAAATATTCATAGATGCTTCTTAATTCAACTGAAACATTCTTTGAATTTGCGTATCGGTTATTACTTTAACTTTGAGCCATTCCAGTTTAAACGAATCTCTCGCTTTTTTTTTTGCTGCATTGTACCGCTTGTTACACACATTTTTCTTTTCAACATGTTCAAATAGCACAGGGTAGTAAACTTTTATTCCTTATTTACTAAACCAGTCTGTGAATACTGAAACAGTTCGATCCAGGTGCACGTAATAATCACAAGAATTGAATATACAGTATATAAATCCTTAAACCAAACAGAGTAAAACACATCCACCTTAAGTAACCTAGAATTTGCATCTGACTTGGATAAACCGTCATAGTATCAAGGAGGTGGGTGGGGTTGGAAGGTGGGGGAGGGCAGTGACAATAGAAAATAAAACCTTGCATGGTCAGCTACTAGCCACAATCCCTTTTACGGCCAGTTTTGGGGTAAACCATTAAATCAAACAGAGGGAGTGTCACCCAGACATCACATCGGTACCCGCCCCGCTCAGTTGAGAGTTAAGTCATTAACTAGACCTGTGGTATGACAACCGAGGTCACCCCCTCCCCCAGGGGTCACAAGCTTTAAGTATCAGTTCGGTCGAGGCCCCAAAACACAAAGACTGTTCGTTTAACAAAACAGGTACTAAAAATGTCGCTTAATTCAAGCCACTGACCACAATTTTTTTTTAGTGAATCAGGCTTGCCCGACGTTATGATAATCTGTGCGCGGCATCAGAAAATGACTGCGCGGCACATTTGAAAGTGCTGCGCGGCCGCGCAGCCGCGCAGCTTAGAGGGAACACTGCTAGTAACTAGATCTAGTAGTAGTAGTAGTAACAGTACTGAAGTGTACTGAGTTAGAGTTAGGCCTGGCCTATGCCATAGGCCAGGCCTAACTCAGTACACTTCAGTATGTAATATAGATCTAGATCTATGTAGATCTATACTCACTATACTCAGACTATACTGTATACTAGTAGTGTGACTAGTGTATTATTACACCCATTAGTATGATTAGGGGCCTACTCAGTATACAACACTGAGTGAGAGTGTATTTTATAAGTATAGTTGAGTCACTCAACTTGAGTGTAGTGAAAGTGTAGATTCTACTTCTACATGTCGAAGCGTAACAGCCTACTAACAGGCGTACTAATGTTGTTGATATAATTTTTTAAAATAGCATTCAGATATATTGATCTAGAGACGTAATAAAGACACAAAGCAATAAGTAGGGTATTTTATAATCCACTTACACAGCGCCTACCCTGGATTTCCATCAATAAAACCAAAATGTATACGACCATTCTAGGTATCCTGATTGGTCACTACGCAATCGTGGTTAGTCGTTGCACCAATCAAACTGAAGTAGCCGCAAATATTTTAAGACCGGTGTACTGTTAGGCAAAATCCTTGTCCAAATTACAAACAGAATCCAAACTTGAAGACTGGGAATACTGATATTTTGCATTGATAATAATAGATATAGATTCTAAAATATACTCAATCACATCTATTTAATTCGAAACACAAATCTGCTAAATTATGGGGTGATTCAAATTTACCATTTTCATTTAAAGACATTTAGGGATTGCCGAAAGCTTAAAATAAAAATTTGGTAGGCCTATAAAGATAAACTATAAAAATAACTATAATTATTAGGCCTAATTAGGGGCCTATTATATAATATATTATATATAATAGACCTATGACCTATACTTAACTATCACTATCTAGATCTATATAGAATCTAGATTTAGGCCTAAACAATAAAACATAGCCGATCTTCAGAGAATAGGGACTATCTAAATTAATTATTCCCATATTAAGATATTTTCTATTATTTAGTAACAGCCCATACTTTTATATTATATTTAAAATAAAAGCATGTAGGCCTAAATACAGACTAGATCTATATCTAATATCTAGAATTGTAGATCTACGTTAGAAAAATATATTTAAATAACAACTTTAGGCTAAACTGTAATACTAATTTATTTAGGCCAAGCTGCGTTAAATCTTATCCATTTGCAACTGAAATAATATATGGTTCGGGAAATGACCTTTGACATTGACCTTGCAACCTTTGGCCTTACAGTATGACTATGAAGTAGGCCACTGTAGGCTAGTTTACGTTGTTAGTAAGCCTAGCGCCTACCCGTTGTCTACTAAAGAACAGGTTATGTGAACTTTGAACTGAAAGCAAACTTGCCCCACATCGATACAAACAATACCTTCACTTTATCGGAATGCTGCGTTACTTGAAAAAACCCTTGGTAAGCACAGAAAATGCTCGACTTTTTAGTGATAACGAAAGTGTCCTTTTAAAACTGATAAATTATCACTGAGTCTGAGTGATAATCTTTGACTTTATCATATGATGATTCCAATGAATGTCACAACTACTTGTGATAAAAAATAACTGACAGGACAGTACTAGATCTAGAATCTAGATCTAGATTCTAGATCTAGAAGATCTAGAAATCTAGATCAAGATCTAGATTCTAGATCTAAATCTAGACTAGCTCAGTCAGTAGATCTAGATTTAGATCTAGATCTAGTCTAGATTAGATCTAGATAGATTCTAGTAATTTCTAGTAGCTAGATCACTAGACTCAGTCCTACGTCTCAAACTCCAACTCTTTTGACTGTATCACTGGATCTAAATCTAGAATCTAGACTAGACGTCTAGATGGTCTAGATCTAGATATCTACCTACTAACAGTGGCGTAGCGAGGTCGGGTGTCACCCGGTGCGGCACTTAATGGTGTCACCCCCCAGAGGCGTAGCGACCCTTCCCGGGGACAAACTTTCAATTTTTGATTTGCACCCCCCTCAAACTTTCTATTTGCACCCCCCCTTCTCTTAAAAGACTATCTAACACTTGAATTAATCACTTAATTAAGTGGAATTATCATTTTTCTCTATAGGCCTATATTTTTCTACTTTTTCCTTGGTGTCACCCCCCTAAATGGTGTCACCCGGTGCGGTCTAGCTAGATTATTAATATTAGTGTTAGGTTTTTAGTAGTATTGTAATCTTATAATCTTAGGCTTTGAGAGGCGGTTGGGGTCATCTATAAAAGTATTAAAAGATGTCACACTTGTAGAATTTGGCGTCCTGGTCCATAATTTTGTGATGAGGGGGTGGGGTGTTCAGATAGTCACACTTTTGAATTATAAAGAAAGTAATATTATTTTAGCCATTATTTTGAGTTTTAGAAAACAGTTTTAATAAAATTTAATAGAGATTGATTAAAATATAATTTGACAGAGCTCAGTCAAGATTTTAGAAAAATACAAATGTTTTAAGAAAAATTCAGCTGCGATTTTGAGAGGGGGGGGGTTAGGCAAGGTGTGACATCATTTTAGGGGAGGGGAGGTCTGGCTTTTTGTGATGATGCACGAAGAAAGGGAGGTTTGGAGGTAAAAATCGTTAAAATAATTTGACGTCATTTAGGGATGACCCTTTTATCTAAGCATTATTGGACACCGGTACAACACATACCCTGGACTTTTCTGGCAACTGAGAATGTAAAAAATTGCCTTTAGTTGTTAGAAAGAAACAAACATTTTTTATGTCATTTAACGCTCTCTTAATGGGCATATAGAAGTAATTTTAGCATGTATCCAGCAATGAACACTTGCGTTAAATTAGACTGAACATAAGTAATGTTTTATTTTCAAAATATGGTGTGGCTGTTCAAAAAGTAATATATTAGTTTTAGTTACAGCGAGACCCATCTAAACTGGACCCTGTATCAACAGGAAACCGAAACGTCAACAAATGGCAAATAAATGTGTGATCCGCTCGTATAATAAAAAATACCAGTTTTCTGGGATATCAACTTGGGAATAAGGAAAAACAAATGAGCAACTGAGTTTTGTTGAAGGCAAGTTTTACTATATAATATATTGCATCAGTTAATATTATTTAAATATTAATATAATTACTAGCGGCTGGTTACCCAACATTGAAGTAATTTACTATGCATCATTGCGCAATGGTAACAAATTAAAATATCTTGCCAGAGGCGAAGCAACCCCTTACGGCGCCCGGCGACAAACTTTCAATTCAGCCTCTCCCCACCCCATCCCCCCCCCCCTTTATGTATTTTTTATATTTATAATTCAAAACTGCAGCTAAAATGTGCTTTTAATTTTTTTTCCAACCCATTTTGCCCCTCCCCCTGTCCTGTCGCTACGTCTCTGCATCGCTTAAAAGATAGGTAAGAACCATACTAAATTTATTTAAATATCTCATTAATGTTTTAAGTAACGTTGCCCTTTTAGACCTTGCTGTCATTTGGGCAGATGAAGTAGAGTTCACCTGTTTCCTATATATATGTTCTCTATATGTAAGGGACAGCTTGGACAGTTTTATGACCAACTGCTTTATTTTCCCTAATGTGGGTCAGGTACCCATCAGAGCTGGGTGAACTCATGGGCATTCTACAAATCCCAGGTCTGGTATCTGAACTCAAGACTTTCGGGCTAGTTGTCCTGCTTTTTTACCATCCAACCATGTAAATGTTTATGTAAACTTTAAATGATTGTTTATACTAATTATTATGTTAGTATGTCTGAATTGACTGGTTCTTTTTAGCTCCTTCTTAATTAATTTTAATAAGTACTTATCTTCTTATCAGTCTATATCATGGTATATTAACACATGAGATAAAACATCAGGAGTACAAGCTTGCGTATCAGAAAAAGATTAGCAGCTTGGTATCTTATCTGTCCTTGTTGTTGTTGAAGTAAGGAAACTGTTGGAGAGTAATCAGCTGTTGTGCTCGTAATTTTCGCAACGATAAGTTTCCAGTTGAAAGAATATGCATTGTTGACGCTGAAACCAGTGGTTGGTAAATTTAAGATTTTCATTCATCATTCTGATAAAGTGTGGCTGTAATGTAACCACAATGATGGCCGAGGGTTCTACACCTCTTTCCACACCTCCCCCCCCCTCCCCCCCCCCCCCCCACCACATCCCCCACCCCCTTCTTACCTGATGTCAGGTCCAGTGTCTCAACACACTTTGGGGGCTATGAATGGTTCTATGAGTTTTGTTATGACTGTCAATTAGCTATTTACTTATCATAGGGATCTTGATGCAAGATTTGTATGATAGATAGATAGATAGATAGATAGATAGATAGATAGATAGATAGATAGATAGATAGATAGATAGATAGATAGATAGATAGATAGATAGATAGATAGATAGATGGATAGATAGATGGATGGATGGATGGATGGATGGATGGATGGATGGATGGATGGATGGATGGATAGATAGATAGATGGATGGATGGATGGATGGATGGATGGAGGGAGGGAGGGACGGATGGATGGATGGATGGTGGGAGGGAGGGAGGGATGGATGGATGGACACACACACATACATACATAGATGCATACAAAGATACATAGATAGATACATACATACATAGATATTATTTATAATATCACCATGTGTGGTAACCTATAGTTGCCCCTCCCTCCCCCCCTAACCCTCGCCAACACTAAGTATGTACATGTTTATGTGAACATATGTGTGTGTTTATAAATAACTAATCCGTGGAAACATTACTTTTTATTCCCAACCCGTATGCCTCAACGAAAACAAATAACATTTCATTAAACTCACACAACTTCAAACGCGGACCCTTTTGCGTCCTCATAACAATATCCATAACAAAGAATAAGGTATGCAATCAAGCATTTCAAACCAATAAGAGGATATAGCCTGCAACGCGTACTTACAAAGTCAATACGAACAAGCCTTTGAGGTATCTGTGTTGTTGTTGCACCGTCCAAGAACCCTTCCAGTTCCGTAGGTCGTAGCGTGTGCTAAATAAGGAAATTTGAAAATGCTCATTTACTAAGTCATCACGGAAACACATCGAGTGATATCCAAAAATGTTAAATTGGTGACTTTGTTGGCTTTTTATTTACATTTTCGCCCTCTTATTCCAGCCGGTCTACCGGGAAAAAGCCGGGTGAGCCCCCAGGTGAAAAAATTCCGGGGGACCCCAGGAACGGTGCGGTTCTAGGCCTCAACTATTAGTGCTTGGATTGTTTTTTAAATAATTGGCCAAGTGAATATCTACCATCAAGATGGGGGGGGGGCTTATAAAATTTATTGGGCCACTTGAACAGAGCCAGTAGACCCCTGCTTAAATCAATTATTGATTTCACTGGATGAACAACTTTAGGTGCGATCGGCACCAGAGTTTATTGCCGGAAATTTAAGCGCCCCACCCCCCCCCCCCTCGGAAATAAAAATGTCTAAAAGAATCACTCATCCACACCTCACCGCTGAATATGCTTGTCTGTCCGACCATGTTTCCTGCGTTAGGACAAAACGATGTTGCGTCACCACGCAGTCAGCGTGTAAAATACACTTTTGATATCTATTATTTACACACAATCGTGGTCATTAGAGACAGTGACATAGTTGGGGGGGGGGGCGATCCTAGGAGGGCGCGGAGCTGTGTGGGTTGGGGGCGCCGAGAGGGATATAAATTTGGGTTCAGTTAGTTTATTATAGCGATACTAGCTAAAGGACAGTGGTTCGGTGAGTCAGTCTTATGGGTTCGGCGGATGTCAAGACATACACCCAACTCATAAGATTCATGATCGGATTTTTGTCAGTGCGGACGATAAAAACCATTAAGAAGGGTTCGGTGTATACAGGGCCGAACTAGGCGCTGTCCGTAGTGGGGGGGGGGGCGCCAAAATGGGTTGGAAAAACATTGAAAGTTTGAGGGGGTGGGTGCAAATCGAAAGTTGGGGGGGGGGTGCAAATCGAAAGTTTGTCCCCGGGCACCGGGAAGGGTCGCTACGCCTCTGATAATACGGGGGGGGGGGGGGGCACTTTTAATAAGTTTTGCCTAGGGCGCTAAATAACCTGGCGCCGGTACTGGGTGTATACGCAAGTGAAACTGGTGGGGTTCGGTCCCGCCTAAATAGGATAAAAACCACTGCTTTAGGAATAAGTATGAGTTATCCTATAATGATGTACTTCAATGTTCGCAGTGTTATGGTCGTGCTACGTGTAGTGATATAAATGCATCGAGACATGAGGTGAATAACCGTTAAAAAAAGGCTCAACTTTCATTTGTTTCACTATGCGGGTATTCGCTGTGTTCCGTGTATATTTTCATATTCCTGTCCAATGAAGCAGCGACCTCTGAGCATTAACGGATTTAGTAAAAGATCTCTTTCGAGCCTGATGGTCAGGGCCGGCGCTACCTATAAGGCGAACTAGGCGGTCGCCTAGGGCGCTGGTCGTAAAGGGGCGCCAAAATGGGTTGGAAAAACATAATTGAAAGTTTTAGGGGGGGGGGTGCAAATCGAAAGTTTGAAGTTTGAGGGGTGGGGGTGCAAATCGAAAGTTTGTCCCGGGGTCACGAAAAAAATTGCAGGGGGGGGGGGGCGCTTTTAATAAGTTTTGCCTAGGACGCTAAATAACCTGGCGCCGGCACTGCTGATGGTGCAGGTGTAGGTGAAGTAGAGTTCACCTGGTTCTGTGACAATGGCTTCTTAAAGATATCCAGCCGCCTTTACTTTTTTTTTAACATAAGTCAGGTACCCATCAGTTGATTTGACTCAGTGATGCGCTACTATTTACACACCGTACTAAATTGAACGGTTGTTATGGTGCATCATCTGTTCTCTGACTGCATTGTGTTGACGTGTGGTGTGTTGTTCTTTTGTGCTGGTTTCTCTCACCCTAAACTTAACCTAAGTCTAATAAAGCTACACTGGCGGAAAGCAAACGTCGATACAGCGTCGTAAAACTGGGCAGAACTGAGAACGCGTTTAATTTTAAGCTCAAGGGGTCGTCCATAAATGGGGAGGTCCGTAATTTTGTGACGGTGTGTGATGAGGGGGGGGGGGATTCAGATGGTGCGACGTCACACTTTTGCATTATAAAAAAGCAATGTTAGAAAACGAAGTTTAGACGTTATTACGCGTTTTAGAAAACAGTTTTAATAAATTTTAATAGGAATTGATTAAAATACTCTATTTTGACAGAGTTCAGACAAGATTTTGGAAAAATATCGATGTTTAAAAAAAAATTCAACTGCAATTTTGAGGACGTTGTGTGACGGAGGGGAGAGGGGGGAGGTAAAAATCGTCCAAAAAAGCGTGACGTCAATTATGGATGACCCCACAAGATTTTTTTTTAAACCCTTCAATTATACGAGGGTAGAGCATTCACATTTTAAAGCGTTTTTGTAAGAAATTTTGGTGGTGTTTATTACATGTTAGTCATCCGGCATTCAGACAAAAGGTCGGCATGGAGAAAAAGCCGACAGGACATATTGCCGACTACCAAAGGGCTGATGAGACTAGGATAAGTGTCATTATTAGCCAGGTCGTCCTACACTAAAAATTTAAGATTTGATTATATAATTGTTTGTTACATATAGATAAAGAGAGGGGGGCTCTTACTTAATTTAGGCTAATTATGGCAAATACAATATATTGTTGATTTTTGCATAGGAAAGCTGGTTTTATATAAGTTTTACTTAGATCTATACATATTTTCATATTTGTATAGTGGACTTTATAGAAAATGAGTGTAAAATCGTGTAAAAATGTAAAAATCCCACTGCTTAACCAGCCGTAAAAAAGTATGTATGAAACCTGGACCATGAAGTTCTTAGCGGCTTTTCTATTACACTGCTAGATCCCCCTGACATGACGCTACTCAGTGCTAAAACGTCGAGCTACTTTTGTATAGATCTAGTTGCATTCAGATGGTGGGCTTGAGCATGTCGAGTAGAGGTCATTGACACGGTGTTTGATTTTTTTTTTTTAAAGGCGGAGGTTAGGGGGAGGGGTGTAGGTGGTAGACTAGGGGACTACAGCAGTGAGGCAGGAGATCTTAAGAAACAATAAAAATCGCGGCGCCTGTTAGAATTCTGCTAGTTCACGGCTGTCAATAGACCAGTCGCTATTGCGGTCTTGGGTTTGCAGTAGGCCTGACTATACTGTGTTATCGAAATGGTACGCGTCTTCGCCTTGTTCGTGCCTATTTGGAAGAATTGAGTTACCAGGATATTTGTTTTTCCCTTTTAATATTTGAAGCGCTTGTTAAAGTTAAAATGTTGGACTCACGTTGGCTAAGGTTGAGCATAGGGGGGGGGGGGGGGGGGTGCATTTTTTTTTTTTCAGTTTCCGTTTAGTTATTTGTGCGAGCCAGTTTTTCCCCCTGTTAGACTACAGACAACACGTGTAGTATGGTCTAGAGATTTTTTTTTTTAAAGTTTGTCGATACTGTCGACATAGGTTTTTTTTTTTTTTTTTTTTTGTGATGTGCGTTAGTGACCGGTACACGATTCTGCAACAATGATTGTTGATTCAGAAGCTCTGTTGCTCAATGCAATACTACTTATTAGCGTCATAGAAATCCTATTTGATTTAACTATCGTTAGCGTTGTTGTAATCGTCTTCAACCGAATTGTTTTCAAATTTCCAAAAATAAACGAGATAAATTGATCCGAGTTATCGGCCTTTTTCGCTTATGTTCCAGTTTTTAACCCCGCCGTTTATCAACCGTGGAATGAGAGAAAAAAAAAACATCGTACAGTGTACTCTGAACTTGCCCTCTGTTTTAGTAGGGCCGGGGTATAACGTGATGTTATTGTTATCAGCGATGTTGGATAACTTCTTCACTTCTGGACACTGTACGGCCATTTTTGGCAGCTGTCGTCTGCTAGCGCTGGACTTGGTTCTTGTGTTGGACTGTGGTGTTGGTCTCCCTTTGTTGTAGAGTCTAAGGGTACTTGATATTCTAGAGCTGATACTAGTGTATTAGACTGTGTATGTATACGGTTTTTTTTTATCTATGAGTACTGACGTGTATATCTGTGTTGGTTTAAATTTCAGTGTGAGTTTTGTTTTAAAACAAAAAGTTAACTGTAAATAAATAATTTTTTTAAAAATGTTTATTAGCTTGCTCTAAAAATTCAAAATGTATTACCTACTCCAAAAAGGGGTCTATAGTCTTTTTAGGGTGTTTTTTGTTATTTTTTTTAATCTGCATGAAAATGTTATAAGCATTATTTTACTTGGTTTAGCCACACTTACATTTGTAAACTTTGTTCACTTATTGCTAATAAAATCCTATATACGATCCCTAAAAGTGGGGATCAAGTACTCAACATTTAGAACACTGTTGTAAACTACATGTAGATCTAATTTTTGTATCTATATTGTTATAACATTAGAACCACTGAACTTCAGAACCACTGTTTCAAGCTCCATGTAGGTCTAATTGTTGTACATATATTGTGGTAACATTAGAACCACTGAACATCATTACCATTGTTTAAGCTCCATGTAGGTCTAATTGTTGTATCTATATTGTGCTAACATCAGAACCACTGTTTAAGCTCCATGTAGATCTAATTGTTGTACCTATAGTGTGCTAACATTAGAACCACTGAACATTACAACCACTGTTTCAAGCTCCATTTAGATCTAATTGTTGTGGGTGTATTGTGTTAACATTAGAACCACTGTTTAAAGCTCCATGTGGGTCTAATTGTTGTAGGTGAATTGTGTTAACATTAAGCTGCCAACAGTAAAACTAAATGTGCTGTGTCCAATTTGGTAGCAAATTAATTATTTATTCATGGTAAGAATGAAGGTAATGGCTGGTTTTTATCACACCTAGGACCTGGCATCTTTTGTTTCAGCAACGCTGCCAAGACATCACTTAAGCCATTTCAAGTTTTTATAATCATGTTTCACATTATCATAACTTTATTTATAACACTGGATTAGTAAATTTTGTAACTTTATTTTATGGTGCTAATTGTTTTTGGGGTTTTAGACATCGCAAGATAATAGTAATTTCTAATGCCAAGGATCAATAATAGTTGCTTCTTTTAAAAATATATTTTAATTCTCCATAATAATCCATTTTCTGTGTGATTCCCTTTAGAATAAAATTGTTACTTAATAACATTAAGGTTTACATATGTCTTTGCTACTGTAGTTGATATAGTAGTTGATTTGTGAAATATTTTAAGTTAAATTACATTTCTACTGTTTTTACGTAGTTCAGTCAAGTTGTATGTTATGTATATGGTGTAAAGTGAGGACAGTAAATAGATTTTAGATTTAAGCTGGACAATTCAAATAAAAAGTTAACAACAGTAACGTCGAGATATGAGTGGAGCCTTGTTGTTACCTAATGCAGCTATGGCTAATGTTGATGTGGAACTGGTGAAGTAGACTTTTTCTCAAGCTTGAAAAATATTATTTTTATAAGATTTCTATAACATTTCAAATTTTCTCAGCAAGTTAATAAAGAATTCTGTATTACAATTACATAGAAATATACTTTTTGTTTACCAAAGAGTGGCAGAACTTATCAAATTTTTTATTTTTTAAGATTTTTATTACTTTTACACATTTGTCTATCCCTGGCTCTACAGCCCATGGTGGGTTTTGGTCTGTCCCATCTCTTTATTATCCGTTACCCAACCCCTGAAAACATAAGTTATCTTTCTTTATCCTTTGTGGCCCTTGAGTAGCAAAGGGCTACAGCTACACCTCTCCATCTGACTCAGTTTTTAGCAGCTCTCTTGATTTGCCCTCATGTAAACCCAGGAGCCCTTCCTTCTTCTTTTAATATGTTGATTATTTATATATTTTTTAATCTTGTATTAAGTAAAACAAATTGGTTTTTTTTAATTTTAATCTCTCTAGGTGCAAACAGCCAGTGCATTGAGCAGAATGGTTGTAGAAGGTCACAACCGTGTTATCCCAAAAGGTCGGACCTTCTCTGTACAGTACTCCCTGCCCAAGCTGTTTGTCCCACCCCTAGACCAGACCTTGAAGAAATACCTGGACACATGTCGGCCTCTCTTGACTGATGAGCAGTACAAAGCCACAGAGGAGGTCAGGTCTATTAATAGCTGGTTTCTTTTTTGTTTTTATTTCTTGTCAATTTGATGTAGTGTTGAACTTTAGATGCTAGGTCTTTACAAGTGGATTTTTGTTTCTTGTAAACTTGATGTAGTATTATACTTCTGTCTGTGAAAGTTAAAAAAGGAAAATGATAGTGGGTGTGAATAATAAGCTTTTTTCATCATTGTTTCCGATTCCTTGCCCAAGACACATACAGATGAAGTAAGTTCATCTGTTTCAATGACCTCTGCATATGGTGGGATAGTGTAGCTACCTTTAATACCCTAACATGAGTCAGGCACCCATCAGAGCTGGGTGGACTCAAGCCTGGGATCCAAACTCGAAGCTTTCGGGTTAGCAGTCAAGGGCTCTACCATTTTACCATGTCATCCCCACTAAGCATTTTAAGTACATAATAATCATGTTCTTCTTCTGTCTCATAGTCTAGGTTAACCATTGCGTCTCCACTAGTGACCTCACTGATGTCTTCCTACATTTCACCAAGTCTTCTGCCATCTTCAATAATTTTCTCAATGTCACATTCATCCTTTCCTTGATGATGTCTTCCAATTCTTTCTTTTGCCTTCCTTTTTTCCATTTTCCGTAAATTTAAACGTAAATTTAAAAAAAAATACTGTTTATAAGAAGTATTTTTAAAAACATCATCTGCTGTTTTAAAAAAGTAAGGACTATGCATTGACTATTAAACTTTTCAACCTAATGTTTTCATCAGTACACAGCCGTGTGATTAAAATATAAACATTTTTTTTTATGACGAGATTTTTGAAAACACACTTTTGTATTCTAATAGATCGTGGAGAGGTTTAAGAACAAAGAGGGACCAAATTTACAAAAATTATTGGAAGAAAGGGCACAGAACCACACAAACTGGGTGAGTTTATTTGTCTTGGAATTGTTAAGTGTTTCTGAAATTTCAGAATATCCATATTGAAAGTCTGTGGTGTTGTTTTTTTTTGTTACCAGATATTTGAGAACACACGTTATAATTAAATCACAATCTTTAAAAAAACTGGATTTTAACAGTTCTATAAAATCCACTTATTTTTAAGATTTGAGCTGTATAGGCTACAATGGCATTTCATATATCTGAAGAAGAAAAAAAACATTAGAAAATATAGGGGGCTGGATGATCTTGTGGCATTAACAAACCACATCTAGAAGAGTTTACAAAATATAATCTTAATTTCTTTAGGGAAAGATGGCATGCCACCAAAACATCAGATAAATTCTACTTCTTGTATCTCATGAACAGTCATGAATATGCAGATACCATTTAGAGTCTTCCAAAAGTTACCATTCATTATTTCTTTTTTCTATCAATCAAGCTCTCTGATTGGTGGAAAAATATAGCCTACCTTGAAGGTCGTGAACCTATTGTGATAAATGTTAACCCCGCATTGGTGTGCCCTAGACAAGACTTCAGGGGCTTGAAGGAACAAATTGAGTAAGTCACTGTTTCATTTCTTAAGTTATACTATTGTTTTTTTAAAGCAGTAAATTTCACATTTAAAAAATTATAAGCTAGGTTAGTATAGGCTGTTGATGTTCCCTAAAAATTAGACTTAACCAAGTAAATCAGGAGAGTCCTGAAGTCCTGAGTTCGAATCCATAGCAGCTGATTAGCTGGGGACAGCAACCCATCTAGGAGAGACAACTTCAAAATCAAACAACTGCTGCCTTGTAGCTTGTTCTTAAATGGATAAAGGCAAAGGAAGCAAATCCAAAAAGAAAGGCAGGCTGAAATTCTGAAACAGCGAGCTATTTGGCACATAACATGTTGACATGTAATACTTAATTGTGTTGGAGGAAATCCTGTCTAACATTACAATTAGAAATGGAGAAAAGGAAATGAGAACATGATATTTATGGTGAAATGAGAATTGTAGAGAAATTAATGCTTGTGTAACAGATGGACGTAAAGAAAATGATTCGATTTCTTTATATCAGATTTTTCTAGGTTAACAAACCATTATTTTTTTATTACTTAGGTTTGCTGCTAGATTTATTGCTGGTGCACTTGACTACAAAATTCTGCTTGATGAGTAAGTAATCAAATAATTTTTTAAAAATTAGGTTAAGCATAAAATCTTTTTATTTCAATTTTAAATTTTGTACCATGTAACCGAAGTATTTAAAAAACTATTTCCTTTTTAAAATTTATTTTACCCTCCACAGACAAAGAGTTCCTGTTGATACTTTAGGTGGGAAACCATTGTGTATGGTGCAGTATTACCAGCTGATCAATGCCTGCAGAATTCCAGGGGTCAAGAGAGACTCGCATGTGTGCATACCCCCCACTGACCCCAACCAGCCGAGGCACATCAACATCATTCACAAGAATCATGTACGTCACATCTAGATACTTTAAAACATTTCCGCTATGGTTGTATTAAATATGGTAAAAATAATTCCTTAAGTGTTTTATAATATTGTGAATTAAATGTTAAAATATAATGATCACAACATTTTTTAAATGATTTGGAAGAATTAAACTTGATAGATTATTATGTTTATAAACCTTTGTCTATTTTTAAAATGGGATTACAAAATACCTTTGTATTCACAAGAATCATGTACGTCACATCTAGATATTTTAAAACATTTCCGCTATGGTTGTATTAAATATGGTAAAAATAATTCCTTAAGTGTTTTATAATATTGTGAATTAAATGTTAAAATATAATGATCACAACATTTTTTAAATGATTTGGAAGAATTAAACTTGATAGATTATTATGTTTATAAACCTTTGTCTATTTTTAAAATGGGATTACAAAATACCTTTGTTTTTAAGTAGGAAATAAGCCTGCTTATTATTAATTAAACTTGTATCTTGTCCAGATTTTTTCAGTAGATGTCTATGGTAGCAAAGGGGAACCACTCAGTATTAGCCAGCTCCAGCAACAGATACAGTACTGTGTAGATCATAGCCAGGTTTCTGCGGATCCTGTGGGAATATTAACAACTCTGGATAGAACTTCTTGGGGCAAACTCTATGCCAGTATGGCTAAAGGTCTGAGTTTTTTTTTATTACCATTATTGCTGTAAGATCAGGGTTACAGTTAAGGGTTGGACTGGCCTGCCAGTCTACGGGGAAAAATCCCATTGGGCCCCCAGGAAAATATCTGGACGGGTCTGAAAGAAACACTCGACTCTAAACCTGTTTCCTACGCTATACCTCAAGCATGCAGTGTTTCTTTCGGAGTTTTTTGCTTCGGGGGGGGGGGGGGGGGGCAACTATTAAAAGTGTATATTTTGTATATAAATTATATTTGGGGGGGGGGTGGGGGGAAGATGCACGCAAACTCTACCCAAAAAGATGTTTGAAAGAAATTCTATATGCAGACCACTTTAAGATTAGATGAATAAATTAGGCAGTAATGTTTGTCTTTATTATTGAGTATTGATGACGTCATTTTATTGTGTTTTGTTTTTTTCTGCATTAGATTTAATTACTCTAGAATATATGATGTATTTATTTTTTGTCTAGCTTTGGGAAGTTTTTTTTTTTTTTTGACTTTGCAACTTTTTATTTTTCTTATGGACATACATACAGAACAGCCAAACTATTATAGTGATGAGTTATCATTTGCTGTACCTGAGTTATCATTTGTTTTGTTTTTAAATTTTCCTGTTCACTGTGTAACATAATTTTTTCTTCTCCAGACAAGGCAAACAAGGCAGCTTTTGAAAATATCCAGCAAAGTATTTTTATCCTGTGTCTGGATGGGCCTTACCCTCAGGATGAAGGTCAGCAAGCTGCAGACTTGGCAGCTTCCATTTTTATCCACGGGGGTGGAAGCAAATTATATTCTGGAAATAGATGGTTTGACAAAACATTACAGGCAAGATTTTAATTTATATTTTAATTTTTGTGAAATATTTACTTAAGATCGAACCCTTTTTTAATTTATGGATAAAAATGGTCCTTGTTTAGAATATTGAAAAAGTCTTTTTTTAGCTGGTAAATGTAATATTTGGAGTAAATTCAAATATGTAAAACTTTAATGTTGATTTAGCTGGACCATAATTTATGAAACATAATAAATTGGCTTTTAATGCAAATTGATGTTTTTCATTGATGGAATTGTATTCTGATATTTAAATTTCCCATTTAAAGGTTGCACAATTATGTTGTATGGATTTTTGCATTGTGCTTTCATCAATGCTGATTTTAACTGAGCTCTCTTTTTTTAAAAATTAGTTTATAATCAACTCAGAAGGCTTTATTGGTCTCAACTATGAACATACAACTGCTGAAGGCCCAGCTATCATAGGACTTTATGATCATATATTAGGATTTATGTAAGTCATTACATTGTTCAAATTTGTAAAAACTTTAACTATACCATGTGGTTTTTTTGTTTGTCAATTATACTAGTGTCACTCTACCAACTTTGCTAAAGTGAGGAAACTTGGCTTAAGTGTTACATGTTCAATTACACATTATACCAAAGCTTTGAATTATCATTTTGGAAATTTGAAGTACCCATAACACTGATTTAGTGACTTCAAATTATATTGACACATTTTTATTGATATCTGAAATAAGTTAACTTATTTTAGTTAGGCAGCAATGATCCTGAAATCATGCATTTGAAGTAAAGAATGGTGATATATCTTTTCTTTTGTTTTTTTTAAAAGAAAATCCTTTTTCCCTTTTTGTTTCCTAATGTTTTAATAGGTGAAATTTTGTATGTTTACATTTGGATATTTATTTACAATAATATTTTGTGGAAATTTATGATATCCACCTACTAAAACTGAAAACAGTTCGTTATTAATATGGCTATGCATTCTGAGTATGGTACATAAACAAACTACCTTATTGTTTTTGTGGTCAATTACATCCATGAAATAGTTATTTAAGTTCAATTTATAGAATTTATCAATTATTGTTTTTAGCAACTGAAGAGCCTAGAGTGCTAAAAGTACTTAAGTCCCATTTTTTGAAAATCAAAACAATCACTGGTCATTATATCTCATGTATTACTTTATCTTATGTACAACTATTTATAGTGAAGTATTTATGTAAGTGCCTCTTTCAAACAAACAAAAATAAATTAAAAGTTATGTTTTATAGATAACCATTTTTAAACCCATTTATCTCAAAATGTTGTTTTTGTGACAGGTACTTTTAGAACTAAGGTTTTCAATTACTTGTTACATGCTTATTTTGAGTTAAGTGTTAATGTTGTGAAACAACTTTGCCAAAAGTGGGGACTGTTTATGGTGTTATGTAACTTATCACAACTTATCATGTGTTGAACTTGTAAGTGAAGTAAAGTTGCTTTTCAAAGCTGAGGGTTTATGAGGGAAGTGAAGTAGAGTTCACCTGTTTCTGTATATGAAGGGATAGTGTGGTCAGCACTATGCCTAGCAGCCTTTTTCCCTAACATGAGTTTGGTACCCATCAAAGTTGGGTGGACTCAGGGACGTTCTACAGACAGAACCTAGATTCCAACTTGAGACTTTCACTTTCAGGTTAGTAGTCTAGTGTTGAGGTTGTAGCAGACTGAATAAGTAATGTGTATTGATGTTGTGGCACAGAGCAGAAGAAAACAGTGTATCTCAGGTTTTTTTCTCCACGCAGAGAGAGGAACCAAGAGTCACGGGTAGATGCTGCCGATGTTCAGGCCCCGCTGCAACTCAGCTTTAACGTCAGTGATAAAACAAAGACTGTGATAGACAAGGCTTGTTACCAACTCAACACGTAAGTTTACTTAAGCAATAAGGAAATAGAAAATGTATTTAAGTAACCAAGTAATTAAATTAATTTGAATGTTAGATTTTTAATATATAAATCTGTAGCAAACTCAACACATAAGTTCAGTCAAGTAATAAGGGCAATAGAAAATGTGCTTAAGCAACCAGGAAAAAAAATTAATTTGCATGTTAAATTTTTGATATATAAATCTGTTGCGTGGTTTGTTAAAATAGACATGTTAATTGGCATATATTATCAGGTTGTGTTAAAACCAATTTGCATTATTGCTTAAAAGCTTAAGAGTTAAATTTAATTTGTTTTCATATCTGATGTCAGTCATGTTATGACTAGCAAACAAACAAATAATATATTTGTTACTTAAAGCAAAGCAAGTGGCAAAACTGATCAAAAGTTTTTTAAATATTCTTTCCCCAGATCTGCAGAAGACTTGATGATTCGATGTTTATTTTTTACAGAATATGGTAAAAATTTTATCAAGTCCCAAAAATTAAGTCCTGATGCTTATATTCAAATAGCATTTCAGTTAGCCTATTATAGGTAAGTTGCTGTCATCTTCACCTAAAGTAATCAAGCTGTTTACTCCATGTTACAAAATACTTGTGTGGACGTAAAAGATCTATTAGAACAAATAGAAGCTGTTCAATGGGATTAAAAGAATTCTAATCAGAGTTAAGCATAATTATAAACTTTTTAAAGGTCGAGTTATTTCATGGAAAGAGTTTTTATGTCAGTTTTGTTTTTCTTATTCTTGGTATTTGTGGTGAAATTCAGGTACAAATACCAGTGCATTAAGTTTTCAGATTTCAATTATAGTTCATATTGTAACGTCATATTTTTATTCCATACTTATTATATTTTCATTTGTCCATTATTTTCTATATTACACATTATGAAATACAAAAGTTTTAAATTTTGCTTTATTTGTTTAATTAGAATCTACAAGCAGCCTTGTGCAACGTATGAAACAGGATCACTTAGAAGATTCCAGCTGGGTCGCACCGACACTATAAGGTCATGCTCCATTGCTTCCCTTGCATTTACCAAGGCCATGGATGACCCCGCGGTACCTGAGGTCACCAAGGTGGATTACCTGAAGAAAGCTGTAGCCTCACACAGGAAGTACACTGATGATGTGGGTCTCATTCATTTTCTCTGGTTAACCCTTTATGCACTGTTGAGTCTCACTGATGTGTATCTCATTAGTTTTCTCCCCTGCTTAACCCTTTCATCACTGTTAGACTGTTGAGTCATGAGGGTGGAGAAAAAACAAAATAATCTTTAAAACTAAGAAGGACCCAGAATTAACACCCATTGCTAGAAATTTCTTTTCTCTGATCAGTTCTTTGTTGTCTTGGAAAGTTACTTTGGTAACCTAATACAGATGTTTCTCATTCTAAAACTTCTGATTTTCCAACTATTTTGATAGAAAATGTATTTTATTTTAATTTTCTGCTCTCCGTAGTTTACAATTTTTTAAATTATATATTTAAAAATAATATAAAAAATCTTTTAAGTTTTTCAATATTAGAAACACATATAATAAAGTGTATTAAAATGAACATTGTGGAAACTGAAACATTGTAACAAAGATACCCTCTTTTTTTAAAGACAATATCAGGAAATGGAATAGACAGACACCTTTTAGGACTAAAGTTGATAGCTATTGAAAATGGAATGAATGTGCCTGAGATTTTTATGGACTTATCTTATAAAGAAAGTACACACTTCAGGCTATCTACAAGTCAGGTGAGTTGTTTATTTTTTAGATTTCATTGTACTGTTACACCAACTAAAGAGAAAATTATGTTTTCTTTGTACGGTTTTTTAAATATTTCCCATTGACAAAAATGAGATAAGGGTTATCCCTAACTTGTCAACTTTTCCTCCCCAAACCATGGGTACATCATAAATATCTTAATCTCTCCCCACTCCAAAATTTCATTAGGTTGAGTCGCAACTAGTTTAGTGACATTTTTCTTTTTAGAATATAACTTGTATGGTTTGCCACATTCCAATTTTATTTGTTCATATTCACTACATCATCTTTAGTCACCACCTATCCCCCCTTTTTTATCTTTTTTTTTCTTGCTTGCCAGACATTTTGTTATATGCAGCCTTTTACAAGCTTTTCTTAAAAGGAGGGGAAAATTCATTTTTCCAAAGGAAAAGTTATTTAGCTAATTCCTTTCCAGCTAACAAATAAAAAAAAAACATCAAGTCGAGTCGGTAAAGCTCATGGTTGCTAAACCAAAAAATCTCGAGTTCGAACCCTCAGGCAGATGAGGCTCGATAGCTGGGGACAGCCACTCTTCTAGGAGAGACAACTCAAAAGTCAAACAACTGCTGCCTTGTAGTTTGTTCTTGGTTGGACAAAGTCTATGGAAGCTTCTTCTCTTCTTCTTCTTCGTTCTTAATTATTAGTGTTGAAGGGGATCGAGATTTATCTGCCAGTGGGTTTGAACTCGAGACTGTTCGAATCTATCAACCATGAGCTTTTTGCTGACTCGACCACGCCTCCAACACAATTAAGCGCTACGTGTCAACTGGTTATGCGCCATTGAGGCCATTGACTCCGATTTTAGCCTGCTTTTCTTTTTGGATTTGCTTCCATAGCCTTTGTCCAACCAAGAACAAACTACAAGGCAGCAGTTGTTTTAATTTTGGAGTTGTCTCTCCTAGAAGAGTGGCTGTCCCCAGCTAACGAGCCTCATCTGCCCGAGGGTTCGAACTCGAGACTTTTCGATTTAGCAACCATGAGTTTTACCGACTCGACCACGCCGACCCCTGCAATGGAAGCAAATCCAAAAAGAAAAGCAGGCTGAAATCGGAGTCAATGGCCTCAATGGCGCATAACCAGTTGACACATATCTTTAATTGTGATGGAGGCGTGGTCGAGTCGGTAAAAGCACATGGTTGATAAATTTGAAAAATGCCTCGAGTTCAAATCCTCTGGCAGATAAGGCTCGATCCCTTCCAATACTAAAAATTAAGAAAGAAGAAGAAGATCAACCTTTCGTGATAGCTTGTCTCTAAATGATCTATTGTTTTTTATGTTTGTCCCACCCAGGTCGCATCAAAATACGCTTCCTTGCTTGCCTTTGGTGCTGTTGTACCTGATGGCTATGGGCTGTGTTACAACCCGCAGGATGACCAGTTGATTATATCCGTCTCCTCCTACAATAACAACCCCCAGACCAACTCGGACACATTTGCTCAAAGTTTGACAACGTCGCTACGCGACATACAAAAACTACTGGCAAGTCATCCTCAGTCCAAATTATAATGCAAGAACTAGAATAAAAAATGTTTACTGTAGGCTTTTAATAAATTTGTGTGTACTTGTGTGGGCTGTTTCTCAAATTTAAACTAAGCATTGGTTAATTAGTATTTTCTTTTTACTTTTTGAAATGTTATTGTTTAGCAAAAAAAAATTAAATGGGGAGAATTTTAAAAATTAGTGAAATGTTATCGTTTTACTAACATTTAAATTTTAAAAAAAGGAAAATTACGGAAATTAGTGTGTGGTAGAAAATTCATAAGTTTCATAGAAAAAAACAATTGAATGTTTAAGTTTAATAAACATTAAATCTATGGTAATAACAGTACATATGGTTATCAGCTATTGACAAATGTGCTCTGTTTATATTTTTATCTTGTTTTTCTCTCAGGAAAGACATATAAACCAATCAAGAGGTTTGAAAATTTAGTTTCAATTACTTCTCATAGGCCTTTATTTTTTAATAATTTTTTTAAAAAATGTCTGATGAAGATTTACAATTTACCAGATTTTCATTTTATTTTTTTTTATATTTTTGCACTAGTCTAGAAATAATCAGGTTTTATTTCTTACTGTCATGCTTAAGAAACTTTCTTTTACATAATTTCCCTTATTTTGTAATGATGTATACTACTAACCGGCCAGAAAATTGGTACAGGTGCCTAAACTGGATAGTTTGCCAGAACTTTCTGTAATTATCCCTATAATTAAAGTTCTGGAGAATAGATTTGAAGGATTTATCACAGTATGAAGAACGATTCATAAAGTTCAGAAGCTGAATGTTCAAAATGTTCTTTAATAATTTGTTACAGCATTGGCTAATATCATTTTATAAGATTTTGTGGAGGAAAACTTGAAATGTTAAAATATTTTCATCTTCCTCAAAAATATTCTAGTAAAATCCCTGTTGAAGACTTGTAGTGCTAAAATGAAATTTAATTACAATAATTTACAATTGCTGTCAAACAATAACAACTTCACCAGATTGTCTTATTGTTTATAATAAGCAATTTATCAGTGCCTTTCGATTCATCCCGTCTTTCAAATTAAAAAAAAAATTACAGGTATTCGAAATTCTCTGTATCAACAAAAACATCATTATTAAATCTCAAGACTTCAGGGGAAAATGTTAAGAAATAAGAGCATTCAATTATATTGTCTTGTTGTTTTATAAATACTCTTTCCACCCCCACCCCTCCCATTTCTGTTTTGGGGGTCTCCTCATTTTCAATGTGATTGCTATTTATGTGAAAAAAAATCAAAGAAATCTCATTTAATTTATTTTCTTTTAGTTATGGCTGTACTTTGTTCATTTCCTTGATTAGTTTATACATTCTAGGTTAGCCTCAGCAGATTGATGGTCCATTATTTACTTTAAACTTGCCTGAATGATGAAAATTGTTTACACTGGGGCGAGTTTTGAGTAAGAATTTCTGAAATTAGTACGTTTTTCGCCTTGCTCGACTAACCACAATCAATGTATTACATTAAACTAGTCTTAAAATGGTAGAATCGGCAGCTAATTTTTGTTTGGGTTTTTTTCTTTAATTTAATTAATTTTGTGTATGTTTTCACTTAATTAACATTTCAAGAATGAATGTTTGTTGATTTGTTGTCAAAATATAAAGCTCTAGACTTTCAGTTTGAATGAGGACATTTTTTAAAATTATAAATATAGCACTCTGATTGTTTCACTTTTACATAAATATCTGTCTAAAATGGCGCTGGTGTCAAAATTTTATCTCACCTCTTCTTTATCACTTGTAATAATGTATCAGCAGATATATTTTATCATGTGCATGTGGAGTTATATAGACTCTCTATTCTTTTTTCATACTATGTCAAGAATAATTATACAGAATAAGCTTTTTATGGTGTGGTGCACAGAATATTCATTTTAATTCTGCTCATTAGGCTCATGTTAATAATGTGTTATTTATAGAAAAAAAAATTATAAATTGTACTGATCTGTTGAGAGTTTGACTTCTGTGTGTTCAAAAGATGTGTTCGTTGTAGGGTCTTTATTTTGTGCACTTGAGATATTTTACATGAAAATTTTATTTTGTTCATAATTCTAGCCGTACTTTAAAACCTGAATGAAAGTTGAGCCCTACATTTGAGAGTTTCTATGGGCATTATTAAAATACAGAATTGCTATATTTTTTTTAACAAAAGACTTTTTTTTCAGCTACAACACTTGAGCTAAAATGAGAATTAAAAACGATTGTTTTTATTGACTGTTACTTGCATGTGACATTTTAATTATTCTCTGCTAACAGTCTTGTATGTATGTGGCGCAATCTAATTACAGACAATAATATGTTGTAGTAGCTCATACTTCATCCAGATGAGATTGAAACCATTCTAAAGCAGGGCTATAGCTGTTCATGTTCACCAAATATTGTGTTTATAAAAATATAACCACTTCAAATTTGGATTTAAAGACTCAACAGTGTCATTTCAAGATTCTTGGTCAGTTCACTGAATATTATTTTAGTTTTTAATAAAATTATTTTCTTCTTAGATATTTTTTATTATTGTAGTAGTTGATTAGTTGGTAGTTTCAGATTTTTACCTAGGGATAATTAGCTTTAAGAAGAGCAGGGTGCTCATGGATTACAGGTTTGTCTTGATGGTAAGGGGCAAGTTACTTTGGTGCTGTTAGCTGTGCTTTGATTCTGTTCTGCTACACTCTTCTGTATTTACCTAATTCATTTATGTTGGAGTACTGAAAGAACATGCATGCTTTTTTTATTGTATTCTTTAGTAAGTAATGTAGCATTTATGAAACCTAAGGAGGCTAACTCTGTTTTTTTTTTTTAAATATTAATGAATTGAGACAACTGCAAATAAAGAATATGCTTTATGTGTTGGACTGTTTTGGAGTTATGTTTTTATAAATAGCAATTTACTCTTGAAGAAAATGTTTTATCATTGGCCAATGGTAATTATTCATTGTGTGTATCATCTGGAATAATGTGGCCTATAGAGATTCAAATGTTAACAGTTAGCTCTAATGCAATTTACCTAAGTCACGGAAACAAACCACTTCATCAATCTTACTGACAATCAGGTGTGAAAGAAGTGAGAGGGTTATTTTTTTTTTATTAAAAAGTTGTAAATAGTTCTTAATTTGACAAGAATTGTAGAATATACAGATGGTATCCATTATGTTATGTTATCTTTGATGTAATAAAAAAACATTTTGTTTTTCATGGTTTTGAATTATTCATTTTGAATGTTTGAATTAAACCAGGGGTCTCCAAACTTTTCAGTCCGAGGGCCGCAATAACTATCAAATTTCAGTTCGGGGGCCAGTTTCTTCCAGGCATGTCTTTGATTTTTCTGGGCAAAGTTCCTCAGCAATCACCAACAAACTTTTTTCCTTGGACAAAATGATCTCAGCGGGCCGGATGAGAGGACTTTGCGGGCCGCATTAAACAATTAACCTTTTACTTCAGGGTAGTTGACATATAGGGTCACTAAAAATACTACAATCAAAACTTGTCTGGGACAATAACTTAAACTGTTGTCTAGTCAAAATGTTCTTATCATAACCCCCCCCCCCCCCCCCAATCAGGACCCCAGGACAAAATTTGTATAGATAGCTAATTTGTATAGAAAGTTTTAAGTGCCCTAGGTTTTATGTGTCAATACTTAGACTAAGTCTACTTGATTTTAAGTGTCAATACTTAGACTAAGTCTACTTGATTTTAAGGGATCAAAGATAAGTAAGGTGTAATCGTGCTTTTAAAAAAATATGTTACCCTCTTTTCCCTTCCATTATACATCGCCACAAAAAGCCGTACCCCCGCCACCCCCTTCAAAATTGCAGTTGAATTTTTTTTTTAAAGACTTTTTTTTTCAATTGACTGAGCTCGATCAACAGTATTTCAATCAATTTCTACTACAATCTATTAAAAGTTTTCTAAAACGCTAAATGACGGCTAAAATTCTGTTGGTAACACTACCTTTTTTTAAGGGTGACGTCATACAATCTGAACCCCTCCCCCCCTTCTCAATTCCTAAAAACGCCCTGTTGATACAGAGTTGCATCTTCGAAAACTACGAGTGCTGATGGTTGCAAACACAACGACTGACCACACCGCCTCCTTGGGATCTTGTCCAGATAAGCCACGTCACTGCTGATGCAAAAAGTGCACGAGCGAAAAGTTGAGCCGCGCCACTTTTTGCCACTACAATCCAATGCACGCAAACTTGACCTATTTCTGACGTCTAGACATGTGATTATTTAATCTTTAAGCGCACGCCATAGCCTAGGCCTAAAAACAACTTATCCGCCTGTAGTGTTAGGTTTAGGGTCATGGTCAAAAACTGAAATTAGTTTCATAGTCTCTTTTTATCATCTTTTATTTTTGGGTAGCCATGGCGGGTCTTAAGCCCCTATCTAGATACTACTAGATAGATTTCTCTAGATCTATCTGGACAAGATCCGCATGTTGCTTGTTCACATCGGTTATCGAGCATGTTTCATTTTGCTTCTTGTTGAATAAAATCGGCGACAGCCATAAACTATCTAGATCTTGTAGATCAAGAATCTAGTCTTGTAATTTGTAATCAACCCAATGACTGCGATTTTTTAATAGGCTAACAATGTTTCATCGTTTAGCCTACTTTACACACGACCACTCAACTTTACCAAAGCAACGAAAGTTAACGCAAGAGCCCACTCAAATTACCGAAAAAGCATGTCAAGCCAGAGAGGTAGTAAACAAAACTGTTCAGCGATAAATTAAAAATATGTTTCAAGTTAGTTTTTAAAACATCTGTGAATTTATCATTTAGGCTTAGATCTAGATCTAAGTCCGTGGGATAAATTATAAAGATCTAGATCTTGGTATCTGCACGTTTTTATTTGGTTGTTGTAGAGAAGTCTAGATTCTAGATCTAGAATCTAGTCTTCTACTTCTAGAATTTAGATTTTAGAATTTTACCGAGTCTGAGTCAGATCAGTCAGACCGACGAGAAAACGAAGCCGTATGCCGTATGTTTTTGTAGCAACAGAATTCAGAATTGAAACCTATCTGATCTAGATTCTAGATAGAGATCTAGATCTAGTTATACTAGGCTAGATCTTTTAAACCTAAGTCACTTATTGAACATGACATGACCAGAGATTATATTTAGGCCTAGGTAAAACTCCATTTCAGCGTATTTTATTCTCCGTTGCTTGTTTACCTCCAGTTGAGCGTATTTTATTATAACAACCGAAACACACCAAAACATTAGGAAAACACGATTTATTTTTTGTATTGTATTTTTGTTTTAGCTAAAATGGAGGTTTACCTAGGCCTAATATTATAATATTAATAGATCTAGAGATCTATCAGATAGATTCTATCTGCCCTAATGAAGTATAATCTATATATATAATTCTCTTCTGGGAGACTTTAGAAAACAAGCTGCAAGCTCACCTTGCAGTCCCCTCTCTTCCTCTCTATCACTACCACCCCCCCCCCCCCCACATGGTCTGGTGAGCTGTGGTCACGCTAATGTTTACAAACAGAGCAGGGGTTTAGTGACGGCTATTAGTTAGGGGCAGATAATTTAGTTTGAAACGATTTTAAACTTAGAGGAGGTAACTAAGAGGTGGCTGCTTTCACGGGGGGGGGGGGGGTGTAGGGTAGAGGGGGGGGGGGGTAGTGTTTTAAAGCAAACATTTTCAGTGGCAGCATTGGTACTGTCGAATTCACAAATTATGAATTACTGAAAAGTAGAAAATAAAACAACTAAATAGCGGCGTATCATACGCCGCGGGTCGGCTCGTAAATTATAATAGACTCTTCCATGAAATAGGCCTAAGTGTGTTTGGCTTTGGGTTGTTAGAAGTATAGTAATCTCAACTAGTTTTATGGTTAGAAATGACTAATTACAGGGCTTAGGGTTAGGCGTATGATGGGGTTGGGGATAGTTATAGTTATTAGTAGTTAACATTGACAATAGCAGCAAGCCACATGTATTGTATATATTTTAGTTAACTACCAGAAACCTTACACCCTTTTTTTTAAGAAGATTCTATAATCAAACACTATGAAAATTCCTGTTTAAGATGACTTGAACATTTATTTAGGCTTACCTTTAATTTGATACCATAGGCCTACCAATTTTAATTAGATACAAGGTCTAACAAAATTAATCGGTGGCCAAAAAATGATTTTTGAAAAAACGCGTTTTTAAATTGCTACTAAGCAAAAGCTCTGTCTTTGTAATGCCGTGTTTAGACTAGAATTGACCTGGATCCACTCATTCTTATCTACTGTGTCACTAGAATTTACTGTCATGTATGGTCAGAAGTTTGTAGGGATGTGGACAATGTGGTACGACTTGGATTAGCAAGGCGGTTAGGGTTTGGTGTTATAATTATTATACTCATAACCCAAGTCCTATTATTAATATTATAAGAAGTGTCAATCTATTAATTAAATTAGATTGTACTAGGTGTCATTATTATGTTATGTAATGTCCTACCTACAACTCATTAAGAACATTAAGTGATTAAGATATTTTTAGCACATGTAGTAATCTAAATAGATCTAGTAAGCGCCTAAATAATAGTAAAAGGTCATATTTAATTTTTTTTTTTTTTAATATAATTTTAAGGCTAAAAATGTTCAACTCTAATAAATAATTATAAATTACATTATTGCTGGATTTTATCATTCCATTTCAGATGATGACATGTAAAGTTCAGATTCTTTTGTAATATCAAAGAAATTTCATATGAAGCGTGTGTAAAGTAAATATTGAAACAAGTGACCATGGAGACATCAGATGGAATCATAGATGGTCTGTACTTGGGAGGAGTAATGGCAGCATTGAATGAGCGGGACCTCCAAGAGAGAAATATAACTCACATTCTGTCAGTTGACGAGAAACCTCTGCCAGATATTTTGACCAACAAGTTCACCTACAAGCATGTTTTTGCGTTGGACCTGTATGACTTTGATATGCTTGACTTGATCCCTGAATGTTTTACCTTTATAGACCAAGCTCGGGAGAGTGGCTGTTCTGTCCTAGTTCATTGGTACATTTTCCTTTATTATAAAAAAAAAAACTTGATATTATAATCATAACTATGTAATACATACATTTCAACATGCTTTTTAAAAAATGAATCATAAACTTGATAACTAAAAATTAAATCTTAAATTTTATATTTTTCATAGTAGCTACTTGGCTTCTCTTAAACATAATTTATGAATTCTACTTTAACTGCCTATTTGATCGCCAGGTCTAAAGAGGATTCTTTACTTTTACTTAACCTCTCTGTACTTAATGAAACTTGTTTCATAATGAACAGAGACCATATAAAAGAGCTTAAGTTTCTACTAGCAGTTAGAAAATAGTTTCTTCAGGTAAACCATAAAAGCCTTTGAAACCAATCAATTACATTTTTTTCCAGTCAAGCAGGTATATCACGGAGCGCAACTATTGTCATTGCATACCTGATGCAAAAATACCAGAAGACAAAAGACCAGGCAATAGGGGAGGTCACTGAGTTCAGGAAATTAATCAGGTAAGATTTTATCAGTTTGATGTTTATGTAATTTTATTTATACATCATCTGCATAAATCAGTCATACAATAATCAATTATTACTTTCTTAATCCTCGTCACTCTATGTGGAGCAAAATGCAGTAATGTTAGTAATGTAACAAAAAGTAAATGTTCCCTTTGGAACCTGACAGTCCATGGGGCAAGTGCAGTAGAGTTCACCTGTTTCTGTGACCTCAGATATAAAGGGATAGTGTGGTCAGTACTATGCCCAGCTGCCTTTACTTTCCCCTAACATGAGTTAGGTACCCATCAGAGCTGGGTGGACTCATGGAAGTACTGACTTGAACCTGAATTCAAACTCGAGACTGTTGGGTTCGCAGTCTAGTGCTCTACTGCTAGACCACACCTTCCCATTCTTTGTTCTAACACTTGTATTAATGTATCCATCTTTGGATGTTTCACAGACCAAATGATGGGTTTCAAGAGCAGCTCCAGTTGTTTGAAAACATGGGGTGTAGAATTGACAAGACACACAGTGAATACAGGGCCTACCAGCTCAACAAACTGGCAGTCAAGTTCAAATGTGGCCAGTTTTTGCAAGGTATCTGATACATTAAAAAATGAAAATATTTTAACTGGCATTTTGTTCAAATCTAATTATAAGTATGAAAAAATGAGTGTGTGTCAGCTAAGAGTTAGAATCTATATCTTAGTTGGCCCTTGCTTTAGCTTTTACAGTTTTGTAAGCTTGTTAGCTTTATGATAGTTGGTGGCCAAAAACAAAACATGTACATTCCAGCACCCGGTTATTACAACAGATAAGCCATTTTCATAAATATTTGATTATTTTGCAAGTGCTACTATTTAATTTTGAATTTACATTTATTTTTAAACTTTTTTCAGGGGAGAGTGAAATACCTGCTGAAGTTTATGTGCAGCCTGACTATTCAGCCAAGGGAAATATAGCTTATTATAAATGTAGAAAGTGTAGGTAGGTTTCAGTTGTTTTTTTTCATCAAACTTACTTTCTCTTGTGGTCATACCTCTAATTTAGCTGATCCTGATCTAATTAGCTGGACTAACTTAAATAAGTTGTGGTAGAAAACAAAACAAAAATCCAAAACCTTTATCATCCCACCAAGCATGTCAAATCAATCACACAAAGTTTTTAGTTTTTGTGTACCTTGGTCTGTCAAACAAGCAAGTATATATAGTATTTCCAGCTGCAGTAACAATAAAGCAGATGCAACTGCACAGACACATGTCATCATCTAAGTCTGTCCATCAATACTTTGTACTATAAATCTTTAAATTTTATCTAGCCTGCTTTCTCCTAAAAAGTATATGAATAAAAAAAATCAACACTAAGTTAAGAGAACATTCAGTGAGTTTACTATATAGCTCAACTGGAAGGTTTTTGTTTTACATATCTAACCTAAAAACACTAAGTCTTACATCAATACCGACTTGAATAACAAAACCATTATAAAATTCTGCTTATAAACATGTTTCATACTCCCTTTCAAAATATATATATATACTTGAATAACAAAACCATTATAAAATTCTGTTTAGATACATGTTTCACATTCCTTTACAATATATATACTTGAATAACAAAACCATCATAAAATTCCGCTTGTATACATGGGTCACATTCCCTTTCACTTTACCCCAAGTCTATGTTGGTCATAGTTGTTTATATACTTTACAAAACCTCCTTGAAAGTGTTAATTTCCAAATTTGAGGTATCAGATAAAGTAGTCTGTGAACTAGTGGTCTCATTACCATATGACGTTTCAAGGCATTGTTTTAGTTAATAATTTTTATTCCTCTCTATTTTTAGAATGTTTCTGTTTCACGATGGTGCACTTACAAATCACAACATTGGTCAAGGAGAGTCTGCATTTGATTGGAGGAGCAAGGTGCCAACCAATAAAAGACTTTTAAATTCAGCACAGAATGATGCTGTATGTCAAAGGTCATTGTTTGTTGACCCTTTGACATGGATGAAGGGAAAAATAAATGTGGTTCAAGGGAAGGTAAGAACTGTATAGTCAATGTGTTAAGTTTCTTTATTGTCACAGGGAGATGGGTGTTTAATTTTGTAACATACAAACTTTTTTACATTTATTTAAAAAAAAAAAAATTTTAAATTGTTTCAGTTGCATTGTCCCAAATGTGATATAAAGATAGGATCCTATGTCTGGTATGGTAAGTAAATTTCTAAATTAAATTTTTGTGTGTAAAATAGGATGTTGTAGTTTTCTACAGAACTCCTATAGTACTGTAATGGGGGTGTGTCAGACTAAGGAATAATCAATCAGGGTAATGAATTTCAAACAAATATTAATGGTACATCAAAAGGTTCATTGCATTTTTAATAGAATCTGTATGTTAATATTATGCACAATTTAAGTAGCCTATAAATTATTATTTTTAAAAAAAATGTAAATAGTAATTTGGCATCAAAACAGGGATTAGTACTTTTAGGTCAATAAACATTACATATTTTAGCTTCAATATTACCATAATATACTTATGTTGAATGATAGTTAACTTGAAAATGCAAAAGTTTTATCAGTACTTTTTAGAACGGCTGAGGCATTACAAAGTGTTATGAGATTTATTGTCATTTCTAATATTTTATTACATTAACCATATTTATTTCATTTTTTTTAAGGGGAAAAATGTCCATGTGGAGCATGGGTGGCCCCTGCCTTCCATATCAACAGTGGCAAGGTGGATAAAATACCCTCCCAGCCAGTCATGCCCCACACACACACTCCGGCTGTCGTGGCCCCGGCTGTGGTTGCACCTGAACAACCCCACCTGATCGGAGCTGTGGCAGCCTTCCCCGTGGGAACCAGGTCCAGCGGCCGGCAGCTGGGCCACAACCCGCTTCCAGAACGGCCAACCGCTGCGTCGAGGCTGTCGTCTGCCCAGCCTGTAGCAGCAGTACAGCCCAGGATGTCCCCTTCTTACATCTCACCACAGGCTCATTCGTCTACTGCAAGTTCCTTAACAACTGTCCAGTCGATGGATTTTGAAATGGGCATGGCAGATGGTGGGGACCAGGTCAGCCAGCCCCATGTGAGACGAGACAACAGAGATCTAGAGAGTGGAATCAACAGTATTCACATGGATGTAGATACTGCATAGTTAACCAATATTGTTCCATGTTGCCTTGATCAGAGTTTTAAATTTGCATTTAACAGTTTTTAAATCAAATGCATGTCTGGTTTTTTGTATTGTTAAAGCTGACTTTGTACAAGAGACTAAAAAGAGAAGAAATTAACATACATAAGAGACTTTAACTATAATTTTTAAATAATGGAAACTTTACAATGTCAATGTTTTGGTCCATAAAACAAAACTATTTGCTTTAAAATGATTAAAAATATAAAAGCTTGTATATTTTAATATTACTAGATTCTGTAAGATTTTTTTTGTGAAGTAATTTTTTTTTACCAACTTTCTATCAAAAACTATTTTATGTGATAAGGTCATACTTGTTCATCTTTAGGTTTTGATGATGTAAAATTTTACCTTCAGTAAACCCGGTACAATGTTTTTTTTTTCTGACTGAATAACCAGTTTACCAGATTACGTTCTTCCCTGCCCATTAAACAAATCTCCTATGTAACTGCACTGTATGTATGTACATACCCTCTGCTAAAAGGAAAGCACTCATTTCATTATTATTTTAAAATGTTTTACTATAAATCAAACTTGCAGTTTTTTAAAACTGCAGTTAAAGTGTAATTGAAATTCCAGGTTTATAAGACTGTTTTCATAATTTTAGATTTTATTTTAGCAACCCCAAAATTTAACACATTGTGTTTTTTTTTAATAACTATCACAGGAATAAATCCTCATACTATTGTAGTAATTATTACAAATGTAATTTGACTTTGGGCATATCCTTGTACCACACTTGGTATAAATATCACATACTAAAATGTGCCATTCCTCATATTTTTTCACATGTGATGTTGAAAGGCGCTCAACTCACTATTCAAAACTAATTATTATATATCTTGACCACCTTAATTAAACCCTGTTACTATTGACCAAAGACTGGCCAACGAATTAAAGAAGGCAGTTAACAAACAAGACTGTTTCTTGTAGGTCAGTACTCAAGTTTAAGATAACTTGTCTTGTTACAAATGTATCTATTTTTTGCCAATTAAATGAAATAAGTTTTGTTTCTTTGCCAAGCAAATGAAATAAGTTTTGTTTCTTTGCCAATCAAATGAAATAAGTTTTGTTTCTTTGCCAATCAAATGAAATAAGTTTTGTTTCTTTGCCAATCAAATGAAATAAGTTTTGTTTCTTTGCCAAGCAAATGAAATAAGTTTTGTTTCTTTGCCAATCAAATGAAATAAGTTTTGTTTCTTTGCCAATCAAATGAAATAAGTTTTGTTTCTTTGCCAATCAAATGAAATGAGTTTTTTTCCTATGCATTTTGTTTTCAATGTAATTTCATTACATGCTTAACGTAGTGAAAGACAACAAACTGGTTGTTTTAATATTATTTGGCTGTTGTATGTTGCCATTTAAAAGTGGAGCCATGTATGAAGAAGTTATTAATAATACTTTAATAACCTTTGTAAAAAAAATATTATATATGATAATATAAAGTTTACAGTTAATAATGGCATTATACCTATTATGTTGGATGAATATCATATAATCCTACTGATTTGTTTAGTCTGCTTTATTTGCAGTGTCATTTATGTTTGAAACATGCTCTTTGTTACACATAAGACATGTTCAGATATGAATCGCTGTGCAAACATGGTTGTATTTTTGTGACAGAAACATGGTTGTATTTTTGTGACCAGTTAAACCTGCTTGTTTGAAAAAGGTATCATTGCTTTTTGTTTTTTCCCCACTTGTGTTTACAAAATACCTTAGGGAAAATAATCTGTAAATATAACAATTGCTAACATAATTAAACTCAATGAATTTTGTTATCATCACAGGTTGTTTTGTTCCCTCGTGTTTACAAAATACTTGAAGTAAAATAAATTGGATATAAAGATTAACGTAATTAAACTCAATGAATTTTTTAAAAGCTTATTTCTTTTTTTATTTTAAAGAAATTGTTTATGCATAAGTACACCAAATGGTTGAATTATACTGAAAAGTGATCAGTAGAATAAAGCACTTTTTAATTTACGCTATAGAATAGGATTCTACTGAATGGCGATGTACAGAATATTTTTAGTTCTTCAATTAAACTGGCTAGTTCCCCACAGACTACATTATAGCTGTTGAAATAATAAATTTTTTATTTAAAATATAGAGCTCGTAATTATAAGTGACAACTTCTATTAAAAAAATTGGAAACCACTGGTTCAACTTAAGTGTGTGTCACTACTCGTATCTATGTTTCCTCTAAGCCATGTGGTTGCACTGCTGCGCAGCATTGTTTTACTGTCACTCAGTCATTTTGTAAAATACACGTGTCCATCTGCTTGTACAAGACATTTATAACAGAGTGCCCATCAAATACACATTGCGCATGAACTTTTTCTTCTTAGAGGAAACGCTTGTGATGCTAGTAATTTAAGGGTGTTTTGCAAGCCATAATTGATTAAATCAAATGGTCTCATCCATCAACACAAAGAAATCTATTTTATCTATAGTACTATATAAAATGTGTTATATAATTAGTTCAACGAAAACTCTGCGCTATAGTAAACATAAAAGTACTTAAAGGTGGGCTTTTTTTTAAAGAAGTGGAAGAAATAGAATAATTTATTATTAGGGTACATTAGAGGAATTTACTATTAACATGAATTTTTTTTTTTCCAACTAATTACAAAAGTACAAAAAAAAATCAATAAATTTGTTTAACAGCTCTGTGTACTGGTAAATGTCAATCTTTACTGTTGATAAATAAATGTAGGTGCTGTCCTACTTATATATTACATTGCCATCAAGTTATATAAATCAATACAGCCAATCATAGCAGCCGTGAAGAATTTTTTAAATAAAGATTAGATCCCAGGAGTGTGGTTTCAGGACAGTGTTGGTCACTTTAGATTGTTTTAGACGCAAATTATTTAAATTATTGTAGTGGTCACAGTAAAAGTAAGGTTTGAAATCCCCTTCTTTAGCAATGTTATCTCTTCTGGCTAATTAAAATTACCCAGGGTTTTTTCCACTTCAAATCCCTAATTAATATAAGAAAAACAAAGCTAAACATACAAATTGCAGCTAGTTTATTAAATCTCTCAATATTAGTATCACAAATAAAATGCAGTAATAATAAACTCAATAATACGTAAAGAGTCTTATTACATTGGGACAGGGTTATCTACCTAAGTTTTACTTAGTTGATCCATACAATTAAAACAACTTAAACAAAAAGCACAAGAATAAATAACTGATGATCAACAAATTTTTTGCTGTCAAAATTTATAGGGAAAAAACTATTTGCATATTTTACTACGTGTAAACTATTCTGAAAAAAAAAATACCAGTGATATTACAAAAATATTCACACAATAAAACTCTTGGATTATAAGAGCAAACAGAAATTAGACAAATGGGTTTCAAAATGTATTCAAAGCTTATATGGCACATGATGTTACCGAGCCATGATAAGCACCATTTGTTGAGGATTTTGTTACAATAATTTGTTCTGTTAATTATTTTGATTCAGTAGTCATTACTTTTATTATCAATCCAACAATCCATAAATGACATCACACTCGTAGGGGGGTCCGTAATTTTGTGACAGTGTGTGATGAGGAGGGGGGGGGGGGGTTCAGATGGTGGGACATCACATTTTTGCATTAACAAAAAGTAAAGTTTGAAAACAAATTCTAGCCGTTATTTTGCGTTTTAGAAAACTGTTTTGATAAATTGTAATAGGAATTGATAAAAATACTCTATGTTGAGAAAGTTCAGACAAGATTTTGGAAAAATATCAATGTTTTAAGAAAAATTCAACTGCAATTTTGAGGGGGGTCGTAGGCTGAGGTGTCACGTCATTTTAGGGGGGGGGGGGTCTGGCTTTTTGTGATGTGTGACGGAGGGGAGGGGGGGAGGTAAAAATCGTCAAAAAAAGCGTGACATCATTTATGGATGACCCCCAATTGATAAGAACAGGATATTTCATCTCAAGTTGAGCTTTTCAGAAAATCACATTTTCTCTACAATTATGTGCATTAGAATTTTTAACTGCTGAAACTGTACAAACAACCAGACCATTAATCAATGCATCTTAGAAATAATGCAACTGATTTTGAGAGGGAGGGGGAGGGAGGAGAGAGAGAGAGAAAAAATCTGATTACAAATAACTTAGGAAGTACAAATTCAACAAGTTTTTTGCATTCTATTTTTACATCTTGGATATATAAAACAAAACTCAACAACTTGTAATTTTAGATAAGTTTAGGTACAATTACTGTACAAAGAATTAAATACCCTTTTTAACACATTTCTAACATAATTTCATTAATTTGTTTTATCAATAACAATCACAGAGCAAAATATTTACAGAAGGTATCATTCTAACAATGCAACAAACACAGAAGTCTAGATATTAATATCTACAGTGTACCTTTTAAATCATGTCTAGTTTATTCACACACACCAAAGAAAAAGCTGGTTTTCTACATAAGAGCTGGACTGTCTTAACTGACTAATGGTTTAGCTGGGTTTAGCAGGCCCCTTAATTTCTCTGTCAATTTGTCTGGTTCTAATTCATGGTCAGGCATCATCTGAAATTAGCATAATTGGTTTTAAAAATGTTCTCAAAATGTAACAGCTTCAAGTTCATTGTAAGTTAAGACAGAACATATAAAATTGTAACGCTTAGGAAAACATTTCACTGCTTTTATGATGGGTTGATCGATAAGAATAGTGGTCAGCTATTAGGCCAAAGGTCTCAAATTTGGATTTTGTTATTGAGTCCACCCAGCTCTAATGAGTACCTGACTCACAATGGGGAAGTAAAGGTGGTGGAGACACCATCCTTTCATATGCCAAGGTCAAGAAATATGAACTCTACATCATCTGCACTGAGGATATTTAAGTCTGAAAGGGTAGCTTTTACATATGATTACTATTTTATATTCACGTTATGTTTATAATTATAATACTTTTTACATTGATATACAATGTAACTTATTTTCACACATACAAAATCAATTAGGCTTTAACATTGTGATGTACCTGAATTTTTATTTTAGACAATTTCTATAATATGACAGGGAAAAAAAAGATGTTTTATATATGGTTTTTAAAAAGTAGAATTTATTTTATTTTTAAATTGTGTGTCAATAATAGATAAAATATTGAAAGTTTGACACAAACTGAAATACTTTTATTTCTTGATAATTTTTGGTAGTTTCATTATATGTTTTTTAACTTTTTAAAAAAAAAAAAATACCCATATTTACTTTTTTGTCGTTTGCTAGTGATTAATATTTAATTTCCTAAATGAATTTTTTTTTAAAAATTTGTATCAAGTAGCCTGGTCTTTGAATAGGTAAACCCTATAACTAAAATAAACTGGTCAGTAAAAGTAAAGTAGACATTTTGGTTACTCACCCTATCTATTTTGTGTTTATGAACCAATCCATCTTTGCCGATGTGAAAGTAAGAAAATGCCTCAAACCACCTGTAAAAAAAGAACAGCCAATTTTTAAAATAAAATCTGGATATCAGATACACCAGAAGATGTATTGCAGTTTGAATAGTGTGTACTTACTCCCAGTCCTCTTTAGGAACTGACTTTTGCCAAAACTTTAAATACTGTATATGAGAAAGACCTGAGATACAAACAAAAAAAATAATAGTTAAAAATACTTTTTTTAACAAACGAAATCAAATTATTACAATTAGATTTTATAAAAAATAGACAAGAAAGCCAGTAAAATTTAAGTCCAGCTAGCTCTGTATAACTGATGAAAGGTAAAAAAATTCCAAATAGCTTGGTACTTAGCTAAACACATAAAAATTATGTATACACTTAAACTGTCTATAAGCCAAAAAGTCCTTAACCAGCCTCCAAAAATGAGTGAAACTAATCCCTTGTGATAAAATAGTGTACAATGTCTTTCTGTACATATCCAGATACTGACAGTAAAAAAAGAAATTCATTATTAACCCTTTAAACGCCAATGTATCCTAATCACTCCATTATTTTCCTGCGTTGTGACACTCAAGATTTCCATAGAAGTACTAGAATACTGAGCAACTGTTCGCAGTCGAAGCTTCGAAAGTTCAATTTTGTAAGCATTGATGCCACTGAAAGCAAAGTTAATATAATAATTATTTCATTGTCAATTTAGTAGAAATTCAAGATTTTTTTCTTCAATTTTAATTCAAGATTGTATCTGAGATTCCCATCATATTGAACTAGACCGTGTTACTGATATAAAATCTTACGCACATAGATGGTTTGTTATCACCAAATAGATTATTCTCCATCACAACATTTTTGTGCAAGAGCTCATAATTATGGTGGCCTTTAAAGAGCTTGAAAACCTGAAATTAAAGAATGTACAGAAAATTAGTACATGTGTTTATAGTTTTAATGGACTACTGCATGTCTTAATATTATAATAGACCTAATGGTAAATTAAAACTCAATATTTTCTTAAAAGTATGTTTCTTCTTTCTTCTTCAGCATTCTTAATTTTAATGTTGGAAGGGATTCCCTTTAACACAATTAAGTATTACATGTCAACTTGTTATGCGCATAATAGGCAGATTTCAGCCTGCTTTTCTTTTTGGATTTGTTTCCATAGCCTTTGTACAACCAAGAACAAACTACAAGGCAATAGTTGTTTGATTTTTGAGTTGTTTCTCCTAGATGGGTTGCTGTGCCCAGCTGTTGACCCTTATCTGCCCGAGGGTTTGAACTCAAAACTTTTCGATTAAGCAACCATCATCTTTACTGACTGGACCACACCAACCCTCATGTAGGTTTAGGGAAACTGATACAATATATATAATGTTTAAACTGTTGCATTTAGACTTACAAGCTCATAAATAATTCTTCAAAATTTTAATAACTTACAAGTTCTTCAACTTTAGATTTTGCATCATGCAACTGTGCAGGTGTTGGCCCATTCTTTGACTGACCATTGTTTTTAGAATTCCCACCAGAGGAACAATACCACTGGGTTTCGGGTTGGCCTTGAACAGGGGCTTTAGCAGAAAATGTTTGTAAACTATGATTATTGAGAATGACACTATGCAATGCTAGGGACTCTAAAGAAGGCATGGCCAGTCTGTTAGCAAGCAGACTGTAAGAATGGTGTGTTAGGACATCGACCGCCACTTTTTCTCTTGTGCTTATATCATCTGGATGCTTATTGAGGCCTGGCAGCTGTGGCTGAACAAGGATGTCATCGTTGGTTAGGTCAACTGATTTTATCAGTTGCATCAAAGAGCTTGGATCTTCTGAAGATCCATTACTGCCTTGCGGGGGCCTTGGAAATAAAATCTGAACAAGATCTTTATACGAGACAGGTAACGTCATTTCTGGGGCTGGCTGGTGCAGATGCTGGCAGCAATGATCTGATTCATTGTGTGATGTTAAGACGGGATAAGGATCATACATGGCACAGGCATTACTTTTATCATGTTGACAGAGGACTGCCCTCGTAATGCTGTCTGCTGTGCTTACAACAAGAGACTGGCTGATACTTCCCTCCAAACATGCCTGAAAAATTTATTTTAAAATGTAGTCTATATATTTTAATGCTCTTCTATAAAGATGTAATATGCAGTTGAGCTAATTAGGAATGATTGGTTGTGGGTTAGCCAAAAAGTTTTTTTTAAAAGTTTTTTTAATGCTAACTTCTAGCTGTTGTGTAAATTAAACGGGTGTAATTTATAAATTACTACTGGTTCTTTTTTTCAAAGATCATCTTTTGTATCTTCATATCATAACTAGGTAATGAGGAAGAGTCTTATTTTAATTTAACAGTTTCGGTTAGGCCTAGGCATTTTAAAACTATACTATTAAATTAAAGGGTTGAATCTAAATATCATCCGACATGGTCATAGTAACTGAGTGAGTCGTAGACAGTCATAGTAAGAAAATTAATTTTAAAATTATTAGTGTGAGCCTAAAAAAATATGTCAAATGATGTAAATCTAGGGCCTATTTGTAAAATCTAAAAAAGTCTAGCCCTAGCCTAAATGTAAAAAATTGTGATTTATTTGGGCCTGATTGCTGACTGAATTGAATTTACAGTCACCGTGGTCACTCGCTCACTTCCTTAATTGTAATTCTACGACTTACATTTTTTGTTTGATCACCTTCGCTGACTCGTGTCGAAAATCCTAGAGTTTTTGTGGGTGGAATAAATCTTAGCGTGTGACTAAATTTTCGAAAATGGAAAGCCATTTTAAAATAATTAAAAGCTATGTAATATTACTTAGGCCTAAACAATGCTTTGTAAATTGCAAGATTAGGCCTACATACTTGGATATGTATTAAAAACAAGTAGGCTTAACTCAAGTTTAACGATATAATATAATATAGAGATCGTGTCTAGATCTAGATTAGCAAGATTAATTATAATAGAGAATCGAAACGTAAGACTGAAAGCGGAACTAGACTAGAGATCATCTAGAATTCCACAGCAGTACTGGGACTTGACGTAAAAAGTTTAATTTGTTTAGCAGGACAACGAAATTATGCGCCCTGCGCCTTGTGTATGCAAATAGATCTATATTTGTAATGCGCAAAACATCTAATGGAAAATTTTAATATAAAACACAGCCATATAAAAAATTAATACATTATTTGTTAATATTAATGTTATTTTTACTCAGCGTAGCTTTAGTAGAAAATAAAAGTAAATTATGATACGCGTATTTTTAACGTATTCTGTACAAATCAGCATCACACAAAAAGCAAAGTGTAATTTTCCGAACAGCCGAGGACTTAATATTTATAATCTAAATAAAGCACGTTAGTAATACTAATAGTACACTTCATTTGCCCGTTACCGCAAATGTGTTCTAGTGCAGGGGCGTGGGGGGGGGCGTCTAAAATGACGTCACACCCCTGGGATGCGGGGGGGGGGGGGGTCGGAATTGTGTGACGAATGAGAGGAGGGGGGTTAGAAAGTGTGATTGTGATGACACACTTTTTGCATTTTAAAAGGTAATGCTAGAACAGAGGCATAGCGAGGGGGGGTGCGGACCGCACAGGGTGACACCATTTAGGGGGGTGACACCAAGGCAAAAAATAGCAGAATATATAGAGAAAAATGATCATTCCACTTAATTAAGTGATTACTTTGAGTGTTAAATAGTCTTTTAAGAGGTGCAAAGTGAAAGTTTGAAGGGGGTGCAAATTGAAAGTTTGAGGGGGTGCCACTCCGGGTGACACCCGAGCTCGCTACGCCACTGTGCTAGAAAGTAAATTTTAGTCGTTATTTTGCGTTTTTTAAATAGATTTTTTTTTTTGTGAGCTGCCTACTCAATGAAAACTACAAAGAAATAGTTGCAGTTTATGTTTTAAAAATATTAACTGCAATTTTGAGGAGAATTGTAGGATGTGATGTCATTTTAGGGGGAGGGGGTCTGGTTATTTGTGATTTGAGAATGGGTTGGGGGTTAAAAATTGCTCTTTAAAAGAAGCAACATCATTTGTGGATAACCCCTCAAACGAGTGTATGGGAAATGTTTCTTCTGTTGTTAGTATTCAATAAAGTAAAACAACAACTTTTTTAAAACTAGATCTACAATGTTTAATATTTTATTAAACCAAACACTCTTTAAAGTGTATTGGTTTTGTCTTATTTTCTTGTTAATGCAAAGTATGATTAATCTTTACATTTCATTCAATAAGTGAAAATTTAACCAACATTCAAATTATTTTTTTAAAAGAATGTGATCTTTCTAACATTCATGAAAGAAACCACAGGATGTCTGCCATGGTTATGCACGCTCAAGAGGGTTACATGATGAAAGGTTTATTTCAATCACTTCTCTCTATGGGGGGAGGGGGCATCTAAAATTTCCAGGGAGGGGGCAGGCAAGTATTAAATATTTGAAACAAGTTGTAGCTACCCTTGCACATGGGGAGGGGGGGGGGGGGAGAAGGGCACTGGAAACATTTGGTATAAGGGACTAAGTTAAAGAAGGCTGTATAGTATTAATTCACTATATATTTTCAATATAATTTTTTCTTTTCCTATTTCATCCAGGGTGGGGGGGGGGGGATGTGCCCCAGTGTGTAGTTGTTTTATAGAGAAGGTTTTTTGTAGCCAGCTTGCATCTGGTAAATACTTTTTTAATTGGTTTACCTTTAAGAATAGGTTTTTGGTATTAAAGTATTCCAACATCCAGAATAGAGAAAAGGTGATATGAAATTATGAATATAATTTTTCCAATTAATATTTTGAAATATATGCAATTTCTAAAATAATTTTTTTTCAAATTAACATAAAATAGAAAAGAAAATTAAAGGCAACATCTGTTAAGTCTATAATAATTGCTTTATTTTAGAATAAATAAAAATGTACATATAATGTTTAATTAAATCTATATATATATATATATATATATATGTAAGCCCTGCTAGGGGGGGATACCTTTAAAATCTATCTACCCTTCCCTAGGCTTATCTATTACTACTGTCCGGTCAGTGCAAGCCCGGCTAAACCCAGACTGGTTAATAACCTAACCTTAGTCTAAATTAAAAACAAAAAAACTTTTACAATTTAATAAAATTTATTTCATGGAACCAATGAAAATATAAAAAAATGGAAAAACTACTGAATACACAAAACAGACAAAACAAAACCAAACAAAACAGTTTATATACAACAAAACATTACGTTCGACCATTCGCTGGTGTTGCACCGACTTATGATGTCTAGGATGGTCCAGGCCCTGACACACAGAAACCTCCCTTCATCCATTCTCGACATCCAAAAGTCCACACCAAACAAAACACTACGTAAAACCAGTACGTACAATACCTTACGTACAACACATTACGTAGAAAACAATACGTACACAACAAACTTTTTAAATCAAACAAAACAATTCATATATAACAAAACACCCAGCCAAGTTGCCCAAGCAACCTCACTCCAACGCACAAAGCGCGACCACAGAAGCTGACCTGACCTACATTCTGGCGGTCAAAAAAAAAAGAAATTATCCGAGTGGTCAGTTTATATACTGACCGCTTCGGACGGAAGGGGGACCCCGTGGCCTGTTCCCCATTGGACCACCATGCACTCCCAGATTCGCAACAAATAAAATAATACAAAATAAATAATCCATTCACCCGCTCACATATATATATATATATATATATATATATATATATATATATATATCATATAGACCTACTGTACAATTACATTAGCAAATACTTCACATCAAATACAAACATGTCACTTGTTTTTCTCAATCAAAATAAGTGACAAATGAAAAACATTTCAGTAAATGTAAAAAACAATCTTAGCATTAGCCTTTTCATTGGAGTCTTTAAAATGTCATTGGGTTAGCAGCAATAAGAATATCCAATGAATTTTTACATTAACTATCATCATTCCTTAAGACCGAGATTTATCTGCGAAATAGTCTTATCCTGGCTGTCAATTTTCTTGTGAGGTGCAGCCTGAAAATCAACATTAAATATGTAACATAACATTTTAAAAATTAAGATCAATAAACATTTTTTTTAATTCCATTTTTTTCTCTTTTAATTGACAAAGGTCTATATTTTCTAAAGTAATTTTTCTTGAAACTTTATAATTTTTATATATTTTGCCATTATTACGCAACAATTTTATAACACCAAGTCCTGAATTTAGAAAAAACAAGAAAAAAAAAACCTTTAAAGCCTTGTTGTGAATAATGGAGAGAAGTGATATATTTATTCTCAAAGCGGTTCTGACCTCTCACACCATTGTATTATTGTACACAACTGGTTACATTGCCATAACCCTCTAGTGTAAACTAATTGACTACGCAGGGGATTGTACCATGGTTTGAATGTTGTGCTGAGTACTACCAAAGGCATTTTAAATTTATAGCATTTTTTCTAAATGGATGCAAACACTTGTCACAAGTTTTCTGAATTTTCGTTTATCATTTTTTAAATTGATTAATTTAGGTTCCAGACTTGTTTTTAAACCAGCCCCAAAGCCAGTGATTTTCATAATTTTTTAATCAGAAATACGGTTTTAATACTCCATACATTCTCCGGACTTGCAAGAGGCCATATGAACCCCTGCTGATGTATATTCAAGTAATACACACAAAAGGAAAAGCTGAGTGGGAGAACAAGATCCAGTAAAAGATTTAAGAAATACACAACATTTCAGAAGCTAGATTTTACAAAGTGTTATGTGACATAAGATGTTTCATTTTTAGCCTTCAATTTTCGAACCAAAGAATTATATTTAAAAATATACCCACTTTGTCAAGTCTGTGTTTAGAGATGAATCCATCATCACCGATGTGAAAATATGAGACGCCATGCAGTAATCTTTCAAATGAAATGGAAAATGTATGAGTATTTTTAGTATGTATCAATATCATCAGTTATTATATGAAAAATTAAATTTCATATGTAATGTAAAATCATGGGGGTGCGGTCAGATGATAGACAGAGTTTCTTCCAGGCATGAAATGAAATTTATATAGAAAATATATACTTTTAACAGTGTCCGCCCCCCGAAGAAAGTCTACCCCCCCCCCCCAGGAGAAAAAAGTCTGGAAGAAACACTGATGATAGAGCATATGAATGTAAGCTCAAAAGTCTTCAGTTCAGATCACCAGATCAAGGTTGTAGGACATCCTTAAGTCCACCCAGCTCGGATGGGTACCTGACTCACATTCAGGAAACTAAGATGGCTAGTCATAGTGCTGACTACACTATCCCTCAGCATGCCGAGGTCATTGAAACAGATGAACTCTACTTTATCTGCCCCATACATCTTGGGCATGAATGGGAAAAGATGAATGTTACATATTTTACATATTGCAGAATGTCAAACTGATATAGATTATAATTTTCTAATACCTGAGTTAACAATAAGCTATACACAGAAGAATGACGGTGTACGCGGATCAATTCTGGACATGTGTTAATTATAAAAGTGAAGGCAATAAATAAAAATGACGCCACAAATAGTTTTTTCAATACCAGAGTTTTCAAGCTTTTGTGTTAATTCCTCAACTTTTTCAGAAACATAAAAAAAACCAATAATAGTGTGATAATAGTGTGAGTAGAGGACAAATGATTAGTGTGCACACTTTACACAACTATGTTCTCCAAAAGACAAAGCTATTTATAAGAGACAAAATTGTATCAATTATAAGAATTTTACTCACTCAGTAAAATCTTTTTTTGAGGCCTGAAAATTAAAGTTCTGCCAAAACTTAAAAACACTGTTTTGAGGAACCCCTGCACAAATAGTAAAAAAAAAAATTTCATAAAGGAAATCTGCTACATGTTTGAAAAAAAAATATATATATTTTTAAAAATTTTATTGCTTTTTTTTTTGTTGATTAATTAATTTATATGGAATTTTTTTTAAACATCAAAATCCTGTCTTAGAATAAATGGAAAAAACTATGCTGTGTATGATGAACTTAAACTTGTTGACAGGACCAGAACACTTACCCATCATTTTCCAGTACACCAAAAACACATTTTTATCTGATTCAGAAACCTCACTGTCTTTAACCTCAATTGTTATTTTTGTGTGGTGAGAGTGAAATTTGAGTCTGATTCTTAGTAGTTCAATAGCATAGGCAAACACGCCACTGAAAAGAAAAAATGTTTTGAAGAGATTACAATTCAGATAACACAGCTGTCCAACCTACTAATATGAAAATAATACTGTTAAAAATTAATAAATCAAATACATTCTTAAAAAAGAACCACTTCTTTAGGAGCTGTCTTATGTGGTGATGTAATGTGTATGAAATGTGAATACGTGGAATGGATCACTGTGTGTGTGTATGTATGTATCATGTAGCGAGACGCGAGGCCGGGTGTGTTGACGTGTATGTTGTTGTACAGATGAACAAGGGTACAAGGGAAGCGACTGGTCGAGTGACAGCGGTTGTGTTGTGAGCGAGAGAAAGGTGGTGTGTAGTAATGATGTAGGAATGAATGCGGAGAACAGTGGTAGGTTGGAGTGAAAGCAAACAGGTTGATTGACGCGTATTTGAGGAGAAATAAAAGAGACTGTGATACCTAGCCTCAATTGTGTTGGTTTGTGTATTCTATGAGATTCATGACACCCTCACATCTTACCTGCTTGTTTTTTCTTCACCAAATAAATTGTTTTCTAAAACAATATCCTTACGCATGAGACTATATTCGTGTTGGCTATTAAACATAGTAGAAACCTGAGAAAAGATTTTAAAATTTAAACAAATTTGAAATTATGTTTTTAAATGTTACAAATTTTTAAAAATTCTCTTTCCAGCCATAATGAAATAAAAGACAGACAAGATGGTGGCAAAAGTATTGTGTGTCGATGAACATGGATTACACCACATCATATATTTAAACTTTTCAAAAACTACTGTGTTATCTTATTACTACCATAATATAATAAGCAGATTGCCTCAAATTTTAAAATGTAAATTTATAAATAAAACATTTTAAGATTTATACAGTTGAAATTAATAATTAATTAGTAAGTGACTATATTTTATTAAACAAAAATACCCACTAAATTAGTTAAATGTAGTTTCATTTCAGGTGAAGGCCATTCTTCTCTATTACTCTTAGATTTTTGTGAATGCGTTTCGCTGTTGTCAGTAGAAATATTCAGCGTGTGGTCTTGTGCGTACGTCCTTACAACAATGCTGTTATAGCTCGAGCTTGCTGTTGTGCTGTTAGTATAACTGGACTTATCTCCAAATGGTTGTGTGCAAATCAACAGCTTGGGTATTAACTGGCTATGCTTATACAAACCACTAATGCATAACATAGGTTTTAATAAGGTTGATGAAGCTGTACATTTTTCTTCTCTCTTGTAGTTGTAGTTTAATGCTGGAGAGTGTTTAGACAATGCACTAAGACTTGAATACTGACATCTCTGTAAACAAAGATAAAAAGCTGTGTGATTATTTGAAACAGGTTTTTTTTTAAAATATGTATATTGTTCATTTTGATTAACTACATCACTAATACTAGCAAGCAATGACAACAAGCCCTAAATAATAATAAAACTAATTGCTAATAAAATAATAACTAACTGCAAACACTAAACCAAAGTATACATTTTTATGTAGGGGCAAGTGTGTGCATGTGGCATGAACATCAGGGGGGTAGTATTGATGCTCGGAGGGACAGGAATTTTTATAGAATGGCCTAATATCTCCTTGCATACTTTTATCTCTGTACATACTATAAATCGATAATTTATATTTCATCCAATTTCATTCCATGGACTAGAAATGTCCTCTAGTTTTTTCGTACTTATTTGTAATTTAAAAAAAAGTAAAATTCTCTTTTTGAACCTGACTGTCCATGGGGCAAGTGAAGTAGAGTTCACCTGTTTTTGTGACCTCAGCTAATGAAGGGATAGTGTGTTCAGCACTATGCCCCAAACAACTTTACTTTCCCTAATAGTAATATGGGTTAGGTACCCATCAGAGTAGTATCGACTCAGGGACGTTCCACTGACTTAAAACCAGATTCGAACACAAACTTTTCATGTTAGCAGTAATAGCAGTCTAGCATTAGACCATGCCATCCAATTGTAATATATTACAGGGGATTTCCTCCAACACAATTAAGTATTGTCAACACTTTTACGCCATAAGGTGCCAGACTGACTTCAGCCTGCTTAAGTTAATTGCTGGATTTGCTTCCATTGCCTTTGTCTACCCAAGAACAATCTGGAAGGATGGGTAGCTGTCTCCAGCTGACAAGCATTATCTGAAAAGGGGTTCCGAACTCTGATCAGCCATCATTTTCTCTTCCACATGATCACTCCATCCGCCTAATTTTCTTAAGATAATATATAATTCTAGCTAGATCTTGAAATACAGTATAATAATAATAATAAGCCTTTATACTTTATCATGAATGAAAATGTTTCATTTTAAAAATTTATTTTAAATAAAACGACTACGATTAGCCTACTCTTTTGACTTCTATTCTACTGTTACACTAATTACTTAGGCCTAATATAGGCCTAAATAATGTGCCGCTGTATCAGTGTATGTCAATTGTAGTGTAGCAGCACTATATAGTATATAGTCAATATAGATTAGTTAACTATAGTGGCTCAGCAAGTGTAGGTAGATGGAGACTGGAGAGTGCATGTAAGAGCAGTAGACTGTATGTATTGTAGATTAACTGTAGTGTTGTCATAGTCAGTGGAGTGGAGTGTACAGTCACCAGTGTCTAGTGTCTACTAACTAGATTCTAAGTAGTATAAATGTAGTCGTCTAGCAGCAGTAGTTGAGTGTACTGCTACTAATAATCAATAAGTAAAGTAACTTAGGTAAGTAGTTGTTGTGTAGTACTTGTAGGCTAGTCAAAACTGCTTCTAGATTCTAGATCTAGATTCTAGATCTATTTTGAATTTTGTTTAAGTATGAAAAAAATAAAAAGTATTGTCTTGAGTGGGAGTAGGACGGACGGTGATTTAAAACATTAAATGATAAAATGTTTAATTTTTTTGTAGGCATACCAAGCTTTTCAAAGCAAAGTATGGACAATCTTTGGAAATTAATTTTAGATAAAGCGCAGATGTGGGATTAGATCGATAAGCCAGGCTGTGTAATGCCATTTGAATTTTTTCGTGATCATCAACCTCCAGAAAGGTTTTTTTTTTATAACGAAAGTGAAACAGGAAGCGGATATTAACGAATCAAGGACTGTGTAAAATCCTAATATATAAATCCCCACGTTCGCACATCTCTCTCTCTCTCTCTTTCTCTGTCCGCAAAAAGTTTTCGCCGGACATCACGTCAGAATCGGCAGCGATATATCGAGAACTTTTTACGGACTTTTGTTGAAAATAATATGTTAGATGTTTTAAATGTATAACCACAATTTTACTTAAAGAAGAAAAATAAAAATTTAAGGCGTATTCGAATGTAGAGAAACAGTATTATTTATGCAACCGGAAAAGCATTAATGGATGTGAAAAAGAACGCATAAAACTGTGACGTCACTATTGCTTATACATTAACTAATGACGTCATCTGCTGTGTTTTGAATAAAAAGAAATGAACTATTTCATTCAAATTTGATTTAGATCTACGTACACTATGAAATGTATACAATACAATTTTTTCCGGCCTAAACTCATAAAATTTATTTTATTTATTTGGATTCTAGATCTAAATCTACAAATCTACGCAATAACTAGATCTAGATTTCTAGATCGAGACGTAGACGCTAAGATCTAGATTTAGACTCTAACTTCTCTAGAATCTATTCCAAAAATAAATTTCTATATTAGGACTAAACTATTTCAAGACATAATTATTTTATACAAAGTCTTTGTTTGGAACTGGCTAATTTGGGATAAAAAAAAATTAATTTGAAAGAATAGGCATATTCGCGTAAGTTAAGATTTTAAAATACGTCTTTTATCCTCCGTGTTGTCTAAGGTGCCTATATAGCGGAGATGATAGTGTACTTAAACTCACGCAGGTGGTGCGAGTTCGAGACGCACCAAGTCACCTTGGTTAATCTATTTTTTTATATTTTGCTCGGGCTAAACTTTAAAAAAATTTAATTAGTATTCTAGATCTAGATCTAGATCTAGATGATCTAGATCTACGGAGAAACTAGACTTACACAGATGTAGACCCTACCTAGATCTAGAATCTTTATCAAACAATACATTTCTATACTAAAGTATTTCAGGCCTTAATTACTTTATTGAAATCTTTGTTTATCTATGCCATTTGCTAATCTCTATAATATATAAAGCAAAGTTGTCGGGTGCACGATAGGGCACTTCCCGGCGCCGCAGGCGCTTCAAATTTGGCAGGATCTTGCCTTGCCTTGGGGCGTCAGAACACGGGGGCCGGTTGGCCGAAAAGTCTACGATGATGGGGTCAAAACTGACCTCGACTGACCGGCGCCTTATATGAGCTATAAATCGAAAAAAAATGTCCACGGAGGAACCTCTTCATAACTCCTGAGGTCGTAGACCGACCCTCGGGCGAATTAATTAAGCATTCAAATTCTCAATGTTTTCGAAAGCCTAAGCAAAGCTGGGCAGCATGCCTAGTAATAAAATATATATCAACAAAACAATCAAATGAAAATCAAGGTTCATCAAACTTTGGTGTGTTCATTAGAACACTCAAGCAGTAGCGTAGCGGGGGGGGGGGGGGGGGGGGACCGGGCGCCCACCTTAGGGGGCGCCAAAATGGGTTGGAAAAATAAATTGAAAGGTTGAGAGGGTGCAAATCGAAAATTTGAGGGTGGGGTGCAAATGGAAATCTTGAGGGGGGGGGGTGCAAATCGAAAAGTGTGTCCCCGGGTCGCCACGCCTCTGCACTCAAGGGAATGGTTCTGTAAAAAAAAATCAGTTACAGTCGCTCACTAAATTGAACCAGGCGTGTCCGACGGCGCCCTGGTAGCGTGCGATTTGGCTGCGAACAAAAACTTCAGTTTCGGCCTCCAAAGGCTCACATGGTCCACTGAGGGCTCTGTAATACGTTTTATTTTAATAATAATAAAAATTAACCAAGGTTAGATTATTAACTGGGATGTTTCTTTTTGTCCGTAAAAAAAAAGCCAAACAATTTCGTCACTTTGCGAATGATGCAATTAACATCTATTTTTAGACGATCCAATCAGAAATTGAGATCGAGCATCTAATAATAGACAATTAGTAATGCTAACATATTGCATCAGTCACACTGATGTTTAAAACACGTCAAATATTTTTTTTTACGTGTTGAAGAAAAAATCCTGTTCATCTGTGTCACCTTAGCGAATGACGCAATCAGCATCATTGTTAACAGGATGCTATTTTGGCACTTTGTGTTATCCTATGAGCACGATGGCGCCTATGTTAGTTTTAAGTAGCCATGGGCCGTACGCGGTACCTCTGAGGTAGCGTAATTGGGTGCTCCCGAGAGTGCCACTCTACGTCCGTGACACATGGGTGGTCACCGAAGTATGTTCTACCTCATTATTTCTGTGAGTGATTAACGTACACTCAAGGTTCTCACGCCATTTTAAACAGAACACACCAAACAGTTTCAAAACCTACTGACGTATACTGACGAGGGCGCACTTTGCGTAACGGAAGTATATTTGGCAAAGTGACGTTATACATAAAGTGAGAGGGATTTCAGGCATACTTTCGAAGGTGGTTGGGGGGGGGGTGTGGGTCTATCGCTCGTCCCCCGAACAAAATAGAATTTATATAGAAAATATATAAAAAATTTAAGTACTTTAATTTTTAAAAATTTACAATACAGTTGCATGACTAAAAACCATTGCGCACATAATGAACGTGATAAAAGCTTGTAATAACACTTTTTCAATTTAGAAATTAATTCGTGTGTCTCCTTGGAGGCCCGCGCCCTGAGTGCGAATATTGCTTCAGTCTTGCGCGTCACGGGGTTTGCGTGTCTTCTCCTTCTTCCAGCGACTAGTTTCTCACGTGTCTTCCGATCAGCGACTAGTTTCTCACGTGTCTTCCGATCAGCGACTAGTTTCTCACGTGTCTTCCGATCAGCGACTAGTTTCTCACGTGTCTTCCGATCAGCGACTAGTTTCTCACGTGTCTTCCGACCAGCGACTAGTTTCTCATGTGTCTTCCGATCAGCGACTAGTTTCTCACGTGTCTTCCGATCAGCGACTAGTTTCTCATGTGTCTTCCGATCAGCGACTAGTTTCTCATGTGTCTTCCGATCAGCGACTAGTTTCTCATGTGTCTTCCGATCAGCGACTAGTTTCTCACGTGTCTTCCGATCAGCGACTAGTTTGATTACGTGTCCTAGTTAATTTTTCAACTAGGCGCAAAGGTTTAGTCTTCGCCACTGTTTAACTAGGCGCAAAGGTTTAGTCTTCGCCACTGTCTAACTAGGCGCAAAGGTTTAGTCTTCGCCACTGTCTAACTAGGCGCAAAGGTTTAGTCTTCGCCACTGTCTAACTAGGCGCAAAGGTTTAGTCTTCGCCACTGTCTAACTAGGCGCAAAGGTTTAGTCTTCGCCACTGTCTAACTAGGCGCAAAGGTTTAGTCTTCGCCACTGTCTAACTAGGCGCAAAGGTTTAGTCTTCGCCACTGTTTAACTAGGCGCAAAGGTTTAGTCTTCGCCACTGTCTAACTAGGCGCAAAGGTTTAGTCTTCGCCACTGTCTAACTAGGCGCAAAGGTTTAGTCTTCGCCACTGTCTAACTAGGCGCAAAGGTTTAGTCTTCGCCACTGTCTAACTAGGCGCAAAGGTTTAGTCTTCGCCACTGTTTAACTAGGCGCAAAGGTTTAGTCTTCGCCACTGTTTAACTAGGCGCAAAGGTTTAGTCTTCGCCACTGTTTAACTAGGCGCAAAGGTTTAGACTTCGCCACTGTCTAACTAGGCGCAAAGGTTTAGTCTTCGCCACTGTTTAACTAGACCAGGGGTCGGCAACCTGCGGTTCGCGAGCCGCATGCGGCTCTTTTGATATCAAGATGCGGCTCTCCAGCTCCTTGAACAAATACTAATACTCTTTAAAAAAAAAATTGAAATTAAAAAATGTTAGTGGCTCTTTAAAACCAGGGAAATTTTGAAAATTGTAACTTTTGGCTCTTCCGCTTCAAAAGGTTGCCGACCCCTGAACTAGACGCATAGGCTTAGTCTTCACCTATCCAATATATAAAAGCCCATATTCGCAATTTTCTCTCTCTGTCCGCAAAATATTTTCACAGCTTATCATATATCTTCAGCGATATATGAAGAACTTGATACGGATTTTTGTTGAAAATAATATGTGAGATGTTTTAAATGTATAAACAAAACTTTATTTAAAGAAGAAAATAAAAAATAAAGGCATATTCGAATGAAGAAAAACAATTTTAATTATGCAACCGGAAAACTGTTTATAGTTGTAACAAGAACACAATTGACAATGACGTAACAAATGAAAGAACACAAAACTAGTTGCGTCATCTTCCGATTTTAGAATATTAAAGAAATGAACGATTACATTCAAATTCGATTTGAAGATTGTAAATGTTAGGCCTAAAGTGAGAATATAAACTCAAATGAAATATAACAAAAATGAAAATAAGTTCAAATTAATAAAACGTTTTATATATTGCATTTATAATGCTAAGTTGCGAGCTATACCTCATTGAATCATTAGCATAGGTTGAAGCAATCACCTGCAATCTTCGGTTCAGCTGAACTTATTTGTTCTTTAAAGCTCCTGGTTGATTAACTCCAGCTAGATGACGTTTCACTTCGATTTCGATGTGATCTTGTTCCAGACGAAACTGGTTGATCAATTTATAAACAGAAGGTTGATTGCAATCTACCGTTTGTTGGAATGACAGTTGTTTGTACGGGGTAGATTTTCAGCGATTATGGAAATTCCAAATAGCAATAGCGAAGCGCAACGTTCTGCGGATTTGGGTATGGCAGCTGCTTGCGTTTTCTCTGTCTTTCTATTGCACGTTGTGAAGCGACGTATGCCGGCAAATGATGTGCTACTTCCATCGAAATTCCTGCTCTGGCTTGTTGTATAATCCGCCTTGGTTTTTCCACCCCTTCCACTACCAGTATAGCCGAAACAACTTTCGCTGCTTCGTTTTTAGCCGGATCAGGAGCGTGATTGTGTTCCGATGAAAACAGAACAACATCGTTCAGCAT